GAGTCCTGCACGGGAATGATGTTTCAAAACTATATCCATACCAACCCATAGAGTTCAGAACCCCGACTGCTTACCTGCAATTACCTCAATTCAGTCTGGGACTGAACTAACCCATAAATAATGAAGTGCGACCCGACCCATGATCATAAAGTGTACACGCAGCAACCGCTTCAGATGTGATCAACTATTAAATGGCCATTATTAGTGGTTATCAGTCCCATAAGGCTCCAGGCTGCGCCTCCTCTACCTTCTAGTAAGTTCCTTATGGTTGATAATATGCAGTTTATTGTCTATTAACAGCCGCTTCATCCAACAAAACCTCAAGTTTCACTTTCTTTTTACCTACTTTATATTTTTTTTATCTACTTTATTTACAGCTTTTCTTCTTAAAAAAGAAACAACTGAGTTTTAAAGCTTTACTTTGAGTGAATTCCACATTTTTCAGTCACATGGATTTAATGTGGTATTTAAAAACAGCTCAGCAGAAAGGATATGGGATTTTTTTGGGAGTCGTTCGATATGAGCGACATGTCAATCAACTTTTTCTTTTTTTTCTTTTTTACAATAGATGAAGAACTGCTACAATTATGCTCAGTTTACAGATAAATAGAACATAATTAATCAATCATTAATTCTGCAGGTAAAAAAGGAATAACCTTATGGTTAGGATTAATTTGGTGATAACAACCTGCTAAGCCTAATAACGGTCATTTAGTGGGATGATAACATCTGAAGCGGCTCTACGCAGCCATTTATAATAATAGAGACAAAAGAACATTGCTTCACGCTCACATCCAGTGCGATCTGCGCTCATAAGGTTTGCCTCAATGCTTAAAAAAAATACCGATATCTGGATATTCTTGAATCAATTTATTTTTTTAAGATGTAGAGGTAATAAATAAAAAAAATAAATATCTTTCATTGAAGCTGTAACACTATGATACCTGCATTTTGTTCATTTATACCAATACCCGCAAAATAATATGGGTTTTTTTCTCCCCGTAGTTATACGTTTTATACAAGTACCGACGAGGATAACCGCTGATGTCTAAGCTGCTGCAGGACTCTTTATACGTTTCACAACATCTGTTGATTCCAAACATAAAAGAGTGACATTTTTATTTTTTTAAAAGGCATAGGTGATATGTAAAAATGATGTTTTATTGTGATTAATCAGAAATAAAGCCTGTTGTTATGTATGCATGAATATTAAATCCCTAACATTTATCCAGCTTTTATGTTTAGATTTTGATTTCTTTGGAGAATGAAGCTTATCTGGACCAGGAAAAATTATTGAAGTAAATTCAAAAGTTCTTTTGGCTTTTTTAAATGGGTAAAAAACAGATTAGCAACTGCCAACATTGAAGTTTGTGTTTATTATTGGGAAAAATGTACTGTATTAATCCTGTTATAAATTTGAAATCTTGATTTTCTGTTCTCTGTCCATTCTGCTGTCCACCTACACCTTAAAGACAAAGGACATTCATCTAAGGACCAGAATGTTCACATTTTGGACAAAGAAGACAGATGGTTTAAAAGGGGTGTAAAGGAAGCCATTTATGTTAAGAGAGAAAAACCAACATTAAACAGAGGGGGTGGACTCAGGTTTCAGCTCTATAACACAGTTTTAGAGTTGATCCCTTCCCACTACCCCCCCCATCCTCATCACCATGCAGGTGGTCAAAACATCGTGGCCATAAGCCAGCCCAATAAAGTCCCTAACGTCTCCCCATTACAAAGGGGTGGACCAGTCGGATTTGCATGTTTTCTAAGCCATAACAAGGCTTTTGTTGGGTTAAAGCTTGTTATGCTCAGAAAACTGCTGCAGCTCTCCAAAATTGTAGGTGACTGCAGACAGGAGGCCTCTGATTGGTCAAATCTACATCCACTCTACGCTATGTGTATTTCCTGTACCTTATCGGTTTGTTTTGTTTGTGTGACCGCCATTGTGGAAAACGACTGATGAAGATGGACCAGCTAGAAGAGCGAGGTGCACAAGAACGCTGGTACCCTTTTTCCACCTGGATCCCCGCTCTTTTTGGCCCTCATGTCCCTCCGTTGTCGCACAAACTTGCCCCCACTTCCTCACCGCCTCGGCCGTATCTAAACCCACAGCTAGTTCCTGATTGTCCCTCTTGCGTTGTGGCGTGGAACAAAGCAGCACAGACCACCCTTCAATATTGGGCATAAATCAAAAAATATATGTGACAAGCTCACTGAGACACACTGCTGCGGGAGGATAACCAGCCTTTTACTCTATAAAACCTGGAGCTCCACGCTAATCCAGACCAGAGGTGTCAAGTAACGAAGTACAAATACTTCGTACTTAAGTACACTTTTTAGGTATCTATACTTTACTCCATTACTTATTTTTCTTCCTACTTCTGACTTCTACTCATTACATTTTCTTGTACTTTCTATTCCTTACATTTTTAAAACAAATGTTACTCCTTGGCTCCATCCACATCTAGTAAAACCTAGTGTAATTGGATGAGTCATATAACGCAAACACCCATTGGTTAGCTAAAGGAAATCATCAGAAGCAAGCAGGTGTTCTTCAAACTGCAAACGTGAATTGTCTATGCCATGCTACAATGTAGGATTCAGAAAAAGATGTTGAAATGTCTGAAAGGTCAGACACAGGCGAGAGCGTATCGGGAGACGGAGACCAACAAGACCTTCCTCATCCTTGGCCCTATCTCAAAGAATTTATGAAAATAGTCGTAAAATTGAGCTTTCAGTTCATGTAGTGGCATCTGGCTGTTTTTTTTTTTTTAAAGGTTACTTTATAATTTTATACTTTAAGTAGTTTTTGGAGCACATACTTTTTCACTTTTACTTGAGTAAAGAGGTCAAGTTGATGCTTCAACTTTTACTAGAGTGTTTTTAAACTGCAATATGTGTGTACTTTCGACACCACTGCTCCAGACATTTTGAATTGAGAAAAGCTTCCTTGTTGGGAAGCGAAATGTCTTCAAACTTGGAAAATGAAGTCCAGCAGATTGTTGTTTTTTTTTTACTTTTTTTGGAATGACTATGACCTGTATGACTCATAATCTTCACCAGCATATCCTAGTCTAACCAAAGACACTAACCTTTGACCTCTGTGGGTGCTGTGGTCATGCTGGTTGTGTGGGCAGCTGAGGCTGAGGTGTCTCCACAGCTCTCAGCCACTCTCTGGCCTGCACACATCGCCTTCAGGGTCTGGAAAACTGCCTGAGGGGCCACGTTCATCTTCAACAGGTCCACAATAATCCTGAAAATGATCTGAAATGAGTTCACTTCATCACAAACAGCCCAAAAAGGTCGATTAGAGACACTGACTTAAAGACTTCCTGGTCCACAGTGATCCCTGCAGCTTGAGTCAATTCAAACAGTTCACTTTCCTCGGCATTCAGGACCTTCTTCTTCTTCATGGCATATTTCTGCACGTTGCTCGTGACGACCAGCACGGGGGAGTCAGGGGCCGCGAGGCCCGTCTGCGGGGCCTGCTGAGACATCACTAAAGAAAACCTGAAAGGATAAGAACGGAATCAGAAAACGTTTAACCGCCCAGCGTCAAAATAAACGTGCATTCGGATAATTTCTTTTTTTTGTGGTAATAATAATAAATAAACTTGAAAAAAAATGTCTTAGTAAACATACCAAACCACACCGATTCAATTAACAGGGTTATTTCTGTCACTAATCGAGTAGTAGCGCTCAGCACAACATAAACAATAATGTTGGTAAAACAAGACGCGGCGCGCGAGAAATACGTCACCGCTGCGCGATCCCTCCGCGCGGGATGATGGGATATGTAGTCAGATGTGCTAGCGTATTCACACCTACCGGTGTTATGTTTACCAATTTTCTATTTTGAATAAAGTATTGTTTAATCCTGTATGGCCAAATCTAAGTCTTGATATAATTGTTTCTTTTTTTTCTGTTCCTTCCTGCACATCTCATTCCTGCCGCTCAGCTGCTGCTTTCTGAAACCGATTCTGTTCATCAAAACGTCCTTACGTCACGCGTTGTATAAAAAAATGTTAAAACACATTAAATACATTAATACAACGGGTGAAAATGCCACTGATTCACAGTTTTGAACGCAGATTTAGTGAATCCAATAACATTTATGGAGATTGATAATGCATATTTTACCAATGCATACCAATAACATTCATGCAAAAATGTGGGAAATTACAAGCCCAGTTAGAAACTTTTACTATTATTTATCTTTTTTTTTTATGAACTTTATTTAAACAAAGTAGGTGCAAACAAGTAAGGCAATAGCAACAGTACAAATCTATCGAAGGCATTGTAGAGGCAGATTTCAAAAATTGAAGTACAAGGCACTATTACGGAAGAGGATTAGGGCCACTGAAAAAAATAAAACAAAGATGACCAATTTTTTACATTTTATTTCAGTTTAATATGGGAAAAAAAAGTCAGAATTCTGACTTTAATCTCAGAATTCTGACCTTTTTTTCTGAGAATTCTGACTTTAATCTCAGAATTTTTACTTTTTCTCAGAATTCTGACTTTTTTCTCTGAATTCTGACTTTAATATCAAAATTCTGACTTTAATCTTAGAATTCTGACTTTTTTCCGAGAATTGACTTTAATCTCAGAGTTTTGACTTTTTCTCTCTGAATTCTGAATTTAATCTCAGAATTCTGACTTTTTTTGTCAGAATTCTGACTTTGATCTCAGAATTTTGACCTTTTTTCCCTCAGAATTCTGAATTTAATCTCAGAATTCTGACTTTTTTCCCATATTAAACTAAAAATAAAATTTAAATATTTGTTAACTTTTTTATCTTTTCATAAGGAACCAAAAAATAAAAGGAATGGCAGATAATAATGAAATAATTATTAACATGACAACAAAGGGATTCATGTTAGGATTGATGAACATCGGGGGGGCAAACCCATTAGTATTTCATTCCCCAGTTATAAACTTTAAACGCGTTTAATCTAGGTTCTGGGCGCTAACAGCGCCTAGCAGACGAAACCGGAAGTGCGTGGGGGATTGTCCTCCTCTGTCGTAATGGCCGCCGCTGCAGCAGGGATAAACAAGCAGGGCGCTGGAGCGACGATGGAGCCTTGTCTCCGGCATGGAAGGGGAGCCCATGGAGGCAGCGTCAAGGTTAGAGTTATGTCACCGACTATAAACAGACACAGTCTAATGGCCTCCCGGGGTTTGTTTAGCCAATTCTGGTCTTAATCGCCTTCATGGCTTCTTATAAAAAAAAGCTAATGTTGCTGCGTTGGCGTTGGCAACGGCTGCCAAAAGAGGATCTACCTCCACTTTATTAGGAACTGCGTCTGTATATTTTTTCATAATAGTGTTGCTCTCTAGTTATTATAAGAAATACATCTAAAATGTCCTTTTTGGTGTTTCCAGGCGCTGCAGCATGCTAACAGGCTGGCTATGTCTCCATCGCTACTAGTTTAGGATCACTGCAGCAAAACTCACACTTTGTTGAGCTGCAAGAGAAAAAACTGCGTGTTTGCTTAAAGTAAAACGGATAAAAATACGCTAGATCAGGGTCTGCAACGCTTCCCAGGCCAAGGACCCCAAACGGATGGAGCGGGGACCCCCTAATTATATACACTATATTGCCAAAAGTATTTGCTCACCTGCCTTGACTCACATATGAGCTTAAGTGACATCCCGTTCCTAATCCATAGGGTTCAATATGACGTCGGTCCACCCTTTGCAGCTAGAACAGCTTCAACTCTTCTGGGAAGGCTGTCCACAAGGTTTAGGAGTGTGTTTATGGGAATTTTTGACCATTCTTCCAGAAGCGCATTTGTGAGGTTGCACACTGATGTTGGACGAGAAGGCCTGGCTCTCAGTCTCCGCTCTAATTCATCCCAAAGGTGTTCTATCGGGTTGAGGTCAGGACTCTGTGCAGGCCAGTCAAGTTCATCCACACCAGACTCTGTCATCCATGTCTTTATGGACCTTGCTTTGTGCACTGGTGCACAGTCATGTTGGAAGAGGAAGGGGCCAGCTCCAAACTGTTCCCACAAAGTTGGGAGCATGGAATTGTCCAAAATGTCTTGGTATGCTGAAGCATTCAGAGTTCCTTTCACTGGAACTAAGGGGCCAAGCCCAGCTCCTGAAAAACAACCCCACACCATAATCCCCCCTCCACCAAACTTTACACTTGGCACAATGCAGTCAGACAAGTACCGTTCTCCTGGCAACCGCCAAACCCAGACCCGTCCATCAGATTGCCAGATGGAGAAGCGCGATTCGTCACTCCAGAGAACGCGTCTCCACTGCTCTAGAGTCCAGTGGCGGCGTGCTTTACACCACCGCATCCGACGCTTTGCATTGCACTTGGTGATGTATGGCTTGGATGCAGCTGCTCGCCCATGGAAACCCATTCCATGAAGCTCTCTGCGCACTGTTCTTGAGCTAATCTGAAGGCCACATGAAGTTTGGAGGTCTGTAGTGATTGACTCTGCAGAAAGTTGGCGACCTCTTCGCACTATGCGCGTCAGCATCCGCTGACCCCGCTCCGTCAGTTTACGTGGCCTACCACTTCGTGGCTGAGTTGCTGTCGTTCCCAAACACTTCCATTTTCTTATAATACAGCTGACAGTTGACTGTGGAATATTTAGGAGCGAGGAAATTTCACGACTGGATTTGTTGCACAGGTGGCATCCTATCACAGTTCCACGCTGGAATTCACTGAGCTCCTGAGAGCGACCCATTCTTTCACAAATGTTTGTAAAAACAGTCTGCATGCCTAGGTGCTTGAATTTATACACCTGTGGCCATGGAAGTGATTGGAACACCTGATTCCAATAATTTGGATGGGTGAGCAAATACTTTTGGCAATATAGTGTATATTGTTTAAAATTGTGTTGCATCAAACTGGTCCTACTCACTCTGTTACAGATGGAGTAATGTAATGAAAGTAATTTCTCCCTGGGATTATTAAAGTATTTCTGATTCTGATTCCTGGTTGATGGGACAGGTGTTGTGATGAAACGGTGCCCAGCTTGAAAGAGCTCCTGTGTTTCACTGAATGTGAGCATTGATGACTGAAAGACATCTTCTGCCTCCATTTATCTGTTTACTACAGTCTGTTGAATTCACGTTAATGTGTATTTAAAGACATTTTAATCAGTGGAAAAAAATTGCAGGAGGGAATATATAAAGTCTAATCAACCAAAACATTGGCAACCCCCCATGCAGTACCTCCATGGACCTCTAGGGGTCGCGAACCCCCTGTTGATGACCTCTGATCTAGAAGTCTAGTGTGATTTTCAAAAAAGGTCATCTGAAAAGTGTAGCATGTATTTATGTCTGCCAATTCTTTAATCCAGTAATCAGAATCTATCGGTGTCATTTAATCTCAGAGTAAATCCATATTTGTTTTAAATCCGAAGCAAACTGTACAAAGACTAGGGCTGTGTAAAAAAAATCGATTTAATCGATTTTGAATCGATTCTAGGGAATGAGATCGATGAGTTTTACAGTGACGCCTGTGACGTTCACATTAAAATGAGCAGGAAAGATGCTCTCAAGATGACTTCAAGCCAGACAGCTGCAAATATAGCCAATAGGTTGACTGAAGACATTAACCAATGGAGGCTGACCAGAAAACACCCTGTAGTTGTTACTGACAGCACCACAAATATGGTTTGCACAGTGGAGATAATGCAGCTCATGCATGTCTGCTGTGTCCCCGCTGTGTCACGTCTGCTTGCTCGAGTGAGGCTTCACTTTTCAACTTTTCACAAACAAGTTTGCACTTTTGAGACAGCTTTGTTCACATCTCACTTAAACCCCTTGGGGTCGCGGACTCCCTATTGATGACCTCTGATCTAGAGGTCTAATGTGATTTTCAGAAAGGTAATCTGAAAAGTGTAGCTTGTATTTATGTCTGCTAATTCTTTAATCCAGAAATCAGTAATCTATGGGTGTAAATTAATCTCAGAGTAAATCCATATTTGTTATAAATCCTAAGCAAACAATATAAATACTAAGGATCATTTCATATAATAGGTCAGGGTTAAGGTTTTGAAACTATATGCCAGGTAGGGCTGCAACTAATGATTGTTTTTCCTTAATCTATTAATCCGTAGATTATGATGGTGAAGATTCTCACTCATCCAGGTCATACTAGTCATTCCAAAAAAAAGATTAAAAACAAACCCCTGGACTTTGTTTCCAAGTGTGAAGACGTTTCGCCTCCCATCCAGGAAGCTTTGTTTCCACATTTAGAATTGAAAAAAAACTAAACATGTTCAAACTTGGATATATGTAGTTTAGTTTTTCAATTAAATGACGAATAATCGATAGCAAAAAGTTCCTTAAATAAGATGTTTTACAGCATTAAACCTGGTAAAACTAAATATTTTCCACTTAAGGAGTTCTGGGTAGAGCATATTGACAGACGGAAAAGTTTTTTTTATCTAAAATAGAAAATTGTAACATAATTCTTTTACAATTTTGTTATAATTACTGCTCTAAATGTGTTTTTTCTGTCAGCTACAGGTCTGTTTTAGAGTTTCCAGTTAATGATTAATTAAATACTAAATTAGTTAACGGTTGTTTCAATAATGATTTATCTAATTAATTAACTGTTTTAGCTCTAATGCCAAACTTTGGACATGACATTTAGCTGTTAATCTGTCATCCTGCAGTGGACCCCCTGTTGAAGAGCTCCGCTCTAGGATTAAAGTTGACATTATGATCTTGATCGGTTTGACATCATGTTGGAGCAAAGCATCCTTCTGCCTGAGCTCATAGTGAGCGCTCCCCCCCCACCATGCTGCTTCCAGGATCACTAATATTCATTCACTTTTGTCTCTTGCAGGTGTTGGAGTGCGGTGTGTGTGAGGACGTGTTCTCCCTGCAGGGGGATAAGGTCCCTCGCCTTCTGCTCTGCGGTCACACGGTGTGTCATGATTGTCTCACCCGGCTGCCTCTGCACGGCAGAGCGGTCCGCTGCCCCTTCGACAGACAGGTCACAGAGCTGGGTGAGTTACGCATGGATGGTTGGATGGTTCTCCTGCACACTGGATGCCGATACAATCTTTTTAGGAAAGTGAAACCAAACTGACTAAAGGTCAAGAATTGAATTTCCCAGAGTGCTTTGCAAATGATCACCTTTAATTGGATTTTTAGTCATTAATCATCTAGGGCAGGTGTCTTCAATGATTTCTGGTTTAAGGACCCCCAAACTGATGGAGTGGGGACCCCCTAATTATATATATTGTATTAAATTGTGTTATATCAAACTGGTCCTATAGTAAAAACAAACAAAAACTGCAAAAACAATCTAGAAACAAGTAAAAATCTCTTAAATTAAGAATATTTACCCTTAATTTGACTAGTTAAATAAGATGATTCGCCAATGGAATGAGATTTTTTACTCTTAAAATAAGATTATTAGATAACATGCACTTGAAATAAGATGATGCATTTGTTTAGTCTTATCTTAAATGTAACTGGTCTCGTTCCATCGGCAAATTCCTCAAATTAAGAAAAAAAATCACTTTAAGAGAAAAATGACTTAGATTTCAGTGTTTTGCAGTGTATGTTTGATCATTTCATAGTGAACACGCGTATGGATCCCAGCAGGAAGGCGCCGCATTGCCTGAATATCAACGCTGCACAGTTTGCATAAATATATAGTCTGTCAGGGAAATTAAATAGCATCAACTTCCATCGTCGTAACGAATGGGGAAAGGCGAGGGTGTAGCTTTGTGATGAAAGCTGGTGAGGAGGTGGAGGCTGATGGAGTTACTCGACACAAACACTTTCATTAGGTTTTTATATTTTCCAAAAATGAGCTCAGACATATATTTATTGAATGCTTTCCTATTGTTGAGAACATAGAAGAACCAAAATACACTGATATTTATGTTTATGGGTATTTAGACATTAATGTATTTAAAAAAGGATGAATAACAGCCAACAACAAAAGATTGTTTTTGCTAATCATAGTCATTCCATTAAAAAATAAATAAATAAAAACAATTTACTGGACTTTATTTCCAAGTGTGAGGACGTTTCGCCTCCCAATCCAGGAAACTTTTTTTTTACATTTAGAACTGAAAAAGCGAAACATGTTCAAACTTGGAAATCTGTAGATTTGTTTTTCAATTAATGATTATTAATCTACGGAGCCCCTAAAGAGACATGGAGAAAAAAATAAAATTTGCAAGATCCCACAATACTTTTGCGAGATCCCGCAATATTTTTGCGAGAGCTCGCAAAACGCTTTGCCATGTCAGCGAACCGGAAGTTAAACAAACACACAACAGTGGAGGTGCAAAGTGTACTGCTATGGGAGGATAATACGCCCATGTGTCAGCTATAACCATGGAGGAAGATTTGGAGAGGTTCTTAATTTATAGACAAGTCCCAAAACACGACATTACACGAACGAAGAGAGACAAGGTCAGTATGCAATCCTACGGAGCCCCTAAAGGAACATGGAGGGAAAAAACGAACTTTTAAGAGCAACAGTTTTGCGAGCTCTCGCAAAGGCGATGTCCCTTTAGAGGCTCTGTATTAATAATAGCAAAAGGTTCCTTAAATAAGATGTTTTGCAGCATTAAATCTGGTAAAACTAATTATTTTCCACTTGAGGAGTTCTGGATAGAGCATATTGACAAAATGTTTACATATTTCTTTTGCAGTTTTGGTATAATTACTGCTTTAAACGTGTTTCTCTGTCAACTAAAGGCCTGTTTTAGAGTTTCTATTTTCCAGTTAATGATTAATTGAATACTAAATTAGTTAACGATTATTTTAATAATGATTTATCCAATTAATCAACTGTTTTAGCTCTAATGCCAAACTTTGCTCATCACATTTAGCTGTTCGTCGGTCATCCTGCAGTGGAACGAGAATGGCCCAACCTAAAAGGAGAACATTGTTCAACAAGAAAGACCTGTTTAATTAGATGGAGCTTCAGAAATGCATTAAAAAAATTAATTTAAAAAATAAGGCTATAAAATAAATAGGAAAAAACATAAGAAAGGTGGTGGAAAGGTTCGAGTTGCATGTGGGAAAAAAATATAAAAGCTCTGATCAGATGATCTCAAACACAGAATCCCTACAGAGATGCATGGTGGTGGCAGCATTATGCTGTGAGGCTTTTTTACAGCATTACATCTTTTGTTGATGTGGTTTAAAAAAAATCCAATAAAAATCATCAGAAAACACTCCAAACTGAACAGGTTTTAATTAGGGCTGGGCGATAATTCAATAACGATATATATCGATCGATAGACGTGTGGCGCAATAGAAAAAAAGAGGGTCGATAAAAGTTCGATAAAAAAGAAACGCAGTTTTCCTTCCTTCTCATTGTAGCCTAGCATGTAGGTTTATGCTAGTCACTACTTCCTCCCAACCAATCACAATCGCGGACCCAGGCACGACGTCACCAAGCGCCGCCCTCTCACACCACAACACAGAGCACATGAAGATGTGCAGCAAGGAGAGGCGGAGGAAATTGTTCCAAAGAAGGGTTTTTGTAGTTCGCCAGTTTGGCAGTATTTCGGTCATGGCAAGTCGGACCAAAAACAAACCACAGTCATCTGGAAAATGTGTCGGGAACCAGAGAAAACCAAGTCTGATAACACAACCAACTTTTTTTTATCATCTCAGCCGCTCACAGCCGCAGGAGTACGAGCTGTTTAGGCCCCGGCGCGGCTCTCCTCCGAGGAATCTTCGGAAAATATATATATATATTTTCAGTTCTGGGTAGTTTCCCACGTAGTTCTAACAATTGAGATAAAAATGCTGAGGGGCCAGAAACTTCAAAGTAATAACTCAGGTTAAAGCAGGAAACGGGGGCGGTGGGGGGGGCATTTATTTATTTGTTATATTTATTTTGGTTACTTTTTTGGTCACTTTAGTTTATTCTTTGTCAGTATTTAATAACATAACTTAGGTCTCTTAAGTTATTTTTCTTTAAAACAATTCTGTTATGGTTAAAAAAGTTGGTTAAATAAAGATTTAATTCGAAGTCTGTGTTTTTTATTAAAATTGAATCATTTAGCAATATTATAAAAAGTCCAACCAGAGCTGCACATAAAATATGGTTTCAAATCTTTTCAATAATTATCGATATCGATCAATATGCATTTTTTTTTTATCGATAAGCTTTTTTTCTATATCGCCCAGCCCTAGTTTGAATACTTTTAGAAGGACCTGCAGGTTTTAGGACTGAAAGGTGTCTCTACCTGGACAGCCAAAGAAAAAGGTTATCACTATTAATCACTATTAAAGCAGAAGTAGCAAAGGCACTGTGATATCTTTCAATTGGTTTTATTGCATCAGGCTGTTATTTTCACTGAAGCCTTTGCAGTGCAGGTATTTCCTAATTTTCCTAATGTCATTATTGCAGGAAGGATTCTTTTAAACCAGCGGAAAACATAAAAAAGTAAAATATGTTTGTTTCTGTCGGTCTGTGTAGGGGACTCTGGAGTTTGGGGTCTAAAGAAGAACTTTGCTCTGCTAGAACTCCTGGAGCGACTCCAGAACGGAGCGAGCAACCAGTCAGGAATGGCGGAGGATGTTTTGAAAGGGATGGGAGAAGTAAGGCGGTCACCTTCACACCTTCTTCCGTCTCCTCAGCTTATTGGTTTTAACCGTATCGCTTCCTCTCCGCAGTGTATAATCCGCTGCGACGAGGACGAGAGCCACACGGCGTCCGTGTACTGCACGGTGTGCGCCACGCACCTGTGCGCCGAGTGCTCCCAGCTCACCCACTCCACCCGCACGCTGGCCAAACACCGGCGAGTGCCGCTGGCTGATAAACCGCACGAGAAGATGCTCTGCCCGCAGCACCAGGTTCACGCCATCGAGTTTGTCTGTCTGGAGGAGGCCTGCCAAACGGGGCCTCTCATGTGCTGCGTGTGTAAGGAATACGGCAAGCACCAGGGACATAAGGTGGGTTGAGAGGCATACAGGGAATGGCTGAAGGACTCGCATCTTCTGAACGTTCCTGCATTTTGTTAGGTTCCAATCGCAAACAGAATTAGCACCTTTCATTCATGCAGCTCAGGAGCTTTGTGTGGTGGCAGCATCATGCTATGGGGAGGCTTTTCTGTTGCAGATGCTGATCCTTTGCCATTATGATCTCTTTGTATTCCACAGACCATTTGGACTGCAGTGTTTGTTAGCTGATATCATTTCCTGCCAATAAAGATATTCAGCCTGTTGGTTAGAAGCTCAATGAGAAACAAGGAGGCGATTTAAAGTGGAGCACTTTGATGAGAAGGAACCAATCCGAATCAGGGGCAATAATTCAAAACTAATATTAAAGTATGGAGTGAAATTTGGTCCATTATTTTTGCAACAAAGAACATGTGTGTAGATGGAAATTTGCAAAAAAAAATTCAAGTGAAATGAAACTTTGAAGAAATCTAATTAAAAAGAGAAAAGAAGAAGAGAGTGTAACTGTGCTGTTTTTTCAGATTTTATTCTTTTTTTTTATCTTTTTCCATATTTTGTTTAATTATTATTATTTTTTTTAATTTACTTTTGGAGAAAAAAGGCTTTAAGAGCAACTTTTCTCATATTTCGTTAATTTCATGTTTTTTTTGTTTTGTTTTTTTCATTTGATCGATTTAAACACAATTTGAAAAGAATGCAATTTGTGAAAGTAATGAAAATAAAAATTTGGCAATTTAAAATATGTAAAAAAAATTGTAATTTGAAAAAAATGTCAATACTAAAATCTCAGAGAACAAAGAACATTTTAGAAAACTGCAAGGTTAATAAGTTATGTTTTAAAAAAAAAAGAAAATTTCAAAGTTTTGTCTTTGGATCTAATGTTTTATTTCTTTTTCAGTTTTCAAAACATGTTATTTGCCTCCAACAATAATCGAATTAAGTTCCCTCTTATTTTTTCTCTACTCCATTAAACCAGAAAGCTGTATAGAGGTGAGCGGGTGTGAATACTTTCCTGCTCCCTGTGCTCTGAATGAGCCTCTGTTGTCTGTGCAGCACGCCCTCCTGGAGTCAGAAGCCAATCAGATCCGTGCGTCCATCCTGGACATGGCCCACTGCATCCGTACGTTCACCGACGAGGTGTCGGAGTACTCCAGGAAGCTGGTGGGCATCGTGCAGCAGATCGAGGGCGGCGAGCAGATCGTAGAGGATGGAGTCGGAATGGCGCACACGGAGCATGTACGACGCGCTGAAAGGCTTTTATTTTTTAAACCTGCATGATGGGTTTTTTAAACTCCTCTCTTTGTCTGACAGGTTCCCGGCACAGCAGAGAGCGCTCGCTCCTGTGTCCGCGCTTACTTCGCCGACCTCCATGAGACCCTGTGTCGGCAGGAGGAGATGGCCCTGAGCGTGGTGGACGCTCACGTCAGGGAGCGGCTGATCTGGCTGAGGCAGCAGCAGGAGGACATGACCATCCTGCTGTCTCAGGTCTCCACTGCCTGCCTGCACTGCGAGAAAACGCTGCAACAGGTCCGGAAACCTTTTTAAACACCAAAAAAACTTTTTTTTTTTACATCAAAAGGTTATAAACTGTCTGTCTCTGCCTCTCTGCTGCAGGACGACTGCAGAGTGGTGCTGGCAAAGCAGGAGATCAACTGTTTGTTGGAGACGCTTCAGAAGCAGCAGCACCAGTTCACTGAGCTGGCAGATCACGTTCAGCTGGACGCCGGCATCCCTGTCACCTTCACCAAGGTACGCACCATCGGCCGCCAAACCATAGGCGAACAGGACAGCCAGAGAGCTGAGGAATACGTTTTTCTTTCAGGACAACAGAGTCCACATCGGCCCAAAGATGGAGATCCGAGTCGTGACTCTGGGACTCGACGGGGCGGGAAAGACCACCATCCTTTTTAAGCTGAAGCAGGATGAGTTCATGCAGCCCATCCCGACCATCGGTAAGCGCTTCTAAAAGCGCCAGACACCCGGCAGCAGAACAGTCACTTGAGTCAGAAACGTTTCTCCTTTTTCCTCCAGGTTTCAATGTGGAGACGGTTGAATATAAAAACCTGAAGTTCACAATCTGGGACGTTGGCGGGAAGCATAAGCTGAGGCCTCTGTGGAAGCACTATTATCTAAACACTCAGGGTAGGTGGGGACGCAGAAAAGCTGACTCATGATTGATGGTTTTACAGTTTGATAATGGAGGAAAGGGCGGTCAGGTGAGATGAAGAAGACAAAAAGCTCTTAATTTAAGCAAAGGGGGCTTTTCTTCACATTTTGTTAAATGAGGGAAAAAAGGCTTCATAAAAAAACAGCTGTGACTTCGCCTGAGAGGTTTAATTCAGAGCTTTGATTTGGTCTAAAGCCAAACTGCAAAAACAATCTAGAATAAGTAAAAATGTCTTAAATGAAGTGTATTTACCCTTAATTTAAGTAGGTTAATAAGATGATTTGCCAATGGAATTAGTATTTTTCCTCTTAAAATTAGAAAATATGCACTTATAATAAGACAATCTAATATATTTTCTTTGTTATTTAAATATAAATTGTAAAGTTCCATTGGCAAAATGTCTCACCTGCTGAATTCAGGAAAAAATGCATTTATTTTAAGAAAATACGACTCTTTGAGATTTAGTTTTTTTTGCAGTGCATGAAGCCTCCTGGGCTCTTTATTAATATTCTGATGCCTTGAATAATTTTACGTCTCATTTGAAGTCAAAATTCTGACAAAAGTGTAAAAAAATACTCACACCACCCATTGTATGTAAACTACTTGTGCATTTTGAACGTTTTATAAGTGCAGATTTAAACCAACACTAAGTCAATTTTCAAACTTCATAAAATATTTTCTCAACTTTTGTGATTATATGTTGACTTACTATATGAATGATACCTCTGTCATGGAGTGAGGGGGTCTGCATCACTTTAACCTGCCCTTAAAAACTTTGAATGTGGCAATAACCCTGCCACACAAAACAACTACAAATGTGCAGACTGCTTTATGACATACGTCACTTCCTCCTTTCCCCATGCTACTAAATTTCCCTGACAGACTATATATTAATGGAAACTGTGCAGCGTTGATATTCAGGCATTGCGGCGCCTTCCTGCTGGGATCCATAAGTTCACTATGAAATTATCAAACATACAATGCAAAAAAACTGAAATCTAAATTTTAATATATTTTTCTTGAAGTATTTCACTTTGTTTTCTTGATTTGAGGAACTGCGACACTTTGCCGATGGAACAAGACCATTTACATTTAAAATAAGAATAAACAATTGCATTGTCTTATTTCTAGTGCATGTTATGTAATTACCTTATTTAAAGAGTAAAACATCTCCTTCCATTGGCGAATCATCTTATTTACCTACTCAAATTAAGGGGAAATACTCTTAATTTAAGAAATTTTTACTAATTTCTAGATTGTTTTGCAGTGTAACTTTATATTTATCTGTTTAAAGGCTCTAAACTCGTCAGCTTATCAGTCCCTAATGAGTTCACTGGAAAAACGATCTAGAAATAAGTAAAGATTTCTTAAATTAAGTGTATTTACACTCAATCAGAGTAGCTAAACGAGAAAGTTTGCCAATGGAATGAGTATTTTTACTCTTAAAATAAAACAACTAGATAATATGCACTTGAAATAAGACAATGCAATTGTGTTTTCTTATTTTACGTGTAAATTGTCTTGTTCCATTGGCAAAATGTCTCTTTAACCTCCTCATTCCAAGAGCAAATGCACTTATTTTAATAAAGTCATGACTTATCTAGATTTCGATTTTTTTTTTCCCACTGTTGTGTGTCATGGCGGTGCAGGAATATGGTACAAAACCAAAGTTAAATGTCTCTTATTTTCAACATCGTCATATAACATTGTTTCACCTTAATTGGATTCATTATCTCGTCGATATTCATCTTTCACACAGCGACTGGAAACAGAAATGTAGTTCAATGCAACTACAGCTAACCAGGAGATCAGGAGTTTACTAAACCATGCTCTGTTCCTCATGGGAAATGCTGTCTTCCTTAAGGCAAAACAATACAGCTTTTGTCCACCGTGGGGAGCTAAAATCAACAAAAACTGAGAGTTCTTTAGAACTGCTCTAATGCTATGAGTAAAGTTGTGCCAGTTCATAATTAAAAAGAACTAAGGTCAGTTAACACAGATTAAAATGAACTAGCTTATGTTCATAGTTCACTTTTGATAAAGTGAACTAAGTTCACAAACCTATAAATTAACTAGTTTAAGTTAATTTGGTAAATTTGTTCCTACACAATAACATCTCATATTTCACCCTTTAAAAGTGTGATGATGATGTAGAAAGAAATGAAAAAATAACTAAAAATACTTGATGCAGTCAAGGTATACTGTATGGCCATTTTTGTCAATGGAGTTGTAGGAACTCTTACCTACACGCTCTGAACCAACAAAGGATAAATGTCTCAAGAGGAGGAGTTTCCTGAAAATAGCCAATCACAGAAGGTTTACTTTCTCAGGTTGGTTCCATCCTCAAAGTATCAAAAGTTGACATGATCCACAGGAGAGAATCTCCAGGAGCATAAAAAGCAAGAGAAGAATCATGAAGTCATGGTGTTGAATCTGAACACGTAGAACCTTCTAAATAAAGATGGAGAATGTTTTCAGTTTGCTAGTTTTAATGAAACTGCTGGTATGAGTATTTAGCAGATATGTGAACTTTTTGGCTCAATTCTGACTTCGTATAATTTGCTCCAGTGTTTTTAGGTTTTATTACCAAAAAAAAGGGATCTTTATTTTTATAAAACTGATAAAACAGGAAAACCTTAAAAAAAAAATGGGTTTGATTCGTTATAATTGCTGCTGAACGGCAGCTTCCTGTTCTGCAGAACATAGGGGGAAAAAAACTTAACATTTTAACATCAGACTAATGTATACAGACAAATAATCTTTATGATGTAAGATAGCATTAAAAGCTTCGATGTAGCTGGATGATCTCAGTTCCTAACAGCTTTTAACGATGGCAGAGAAAAAGTTCAGGACCGAACAGGGCAGACATTTTCCTGCTTTTATTCAGTTTTGAAGAATTTAAAAGTACAATTTAGAAATTTCAGATGCTGTAAATAAAAGGCAACGCATTTTAGAAAAATATTTACAACTTTTCCAGTGAAAAATGTAGACTTTGGATAAAAGGTGAAACAGAAAGATGTCTTTCTTGGTGAGAAACAGCCAATCAGAGGACAGGGTTTCTATGGAAACGGTCCTACTCCCTACGCCCGTCACAATAGCACATGATTTCTGCATGATAAATTATCCCAGAAAAGTTTGCGACAAAACATAGTATTGTCATTCGCTTTAGTCCTCCCACACAGCTGTCACTTTCCACGTTTAGTAGACGTGGATTATTAAAATTAATCGTGCAATTAATTGATTTATTGATTTATTGTGACAGGCCTACTAGTCCCGCCCACTGAGATTAATGGGTGAAGTTGACAGATAAAACATTTTATGATAAATCTGCTGCGCTGATGCCATGAAATTAATAGTGAAATAATGAAATGTATATCTAAAAACATTTATTAAAACATTTTTTATGCTTCTTTGTAAAAGATGTATTTAATTTATAATTCATAATATTAAAATATATTTAGATGTATATCATAAATACATTGTATATTTAGTTATTTAATGGTAGATTTGTTTATTTTACATCCATAATTTAATGTTTAATTTTATTTTGTTCCCTCTAAGCCTCCGTACATCAAATTCACAATTTAAAAAAAAACTATGATTGTTGACCACCACGTGTTTATCTGTTCATTTTATGAGATTTCTATAAAATATGCCGAGGATGAGCAGATCCTGGATCATTTAAGCTCACGTCTGCCTGTGGTGTCCGTTTCTCCTCCCAGCTGTGGTGTACGTGATCGACAGCTGCCACAGAGACCGACTGATGGAGGCGCACAGCGAGCTGGCCAAACTACTGACGGAGAAGGAGCTGCGCGACGCTTTGCTGCTCATCTTTGCAAACAAGCAGGTGCTCAGATATCTGGAAGCATATTTATCCTTGGCCTAATTGTGAGATAAAATGTTTTGAGTGTGCCTTTTCTCTCCTAAATAGGGGTGATCTTTAGAAATCTTGTACCAGTCTCTATGCTGGAGTTAATTTATTTAGGGAGTTAACCCTATAATGCCAAATGTATCATATTTGATACGTACGGTTTCTGCAATGTTTTGCATCTGACACCTTTTGCATAATTTAATGGTAAAAACTTTGCTCAAAATCCTATTTTACACAATCAGATATACCTGATAACAGAGGGCAGAAGACTACACAAAAAATAATCTTGACTTATCGCATAGTAATAAATAATTAATATAAAAAATGTATTTCTGTTTTTTCTTTTTACATATTTTGTTAAAAGGGCAAATAAGAAATTCAAACCAAAAAAAAAAGTAAATTTCTGTTTTGTTTTATTCTTGGATCAGGCTTTAAAGGGTTGAGTGGGAATGACAGAAAGCAGTTGCCTCCCTACTCTAGACAAGGGTGAAAGGACAAGCATGAGAGATGAGTATAAGTTCACTGTGCTTCCTTCATGCCGTGAACGGGAGTGTTTATCTGACTAAAATCTATGTCCTTGATGAATTGAAGTGTTTTTTCTTGGGAATAATCAAACGTGTGAGAAAGTTCTTAGTGTAGGGGTGGGATAGTTCCAGGGAGAGTGTCTGTGTTGGGATTTTGTAAGGTATAAATGTATGTGCTGAGGTAGCCTCAGTCAGAGCGCTATCTCTCCGTCTGAGGATGTTAAATAAATTTGAACATTCTCTTGCAAGAGTCTATATTCTCCGCAGTTTAAGTTTTAACCATCCCCATGCTGTTTGCCTCACAGGACGTTCCCGGCGCGCTGTCTGTGGAGGAGATGACGGAGCTGCTGAGCCTCCACAAGCTGTGCTGCGGGAGGAGCTGGCATATCCAGGGCTGCGACGCCCGCAGCGGGATGGGACTCCACGAGGGGCTGGACTGGCTCTCCAGACAGCTGGTGGCAGCAGGGGTCCTGGATGTAGCCTAAAAGCATCATCATCATCATCTTCTTCTCCGTATACTGACTAATCCAAATAAAAACCCAACCCTCCTAACCCCAACATCTACTCTCTTCAAACCTCCAGGCTGCGGCTGAAACCCTGATCCTCCATCTTTCTTTCTTTGGGGAATTACGCTGTTACACTTTCTAAATATCAGAATGAACCGGTCATTCGCGACCATCCACATAACGAAGCGTTTCCGGATGCCTCCTTCCTTAACTAGCTGAACCCATTTACTCCAAAACGCTCCTTCTTCCTCCAGTCTGGAGCAGATATGCTCTTTCAAACCTTCTTATTCTGTATATTGTTTAATCCACTAACCATTAGATAGTTCAGGTAAACGACTACAGTGACCTTGAAGTAATCAGAAATATTAATCCGTTATCGCTTCAGTGAGTAGAGTGGCTTCTAGTTGCTGTTCATTTCATCGCCTGACGTAAAACAGTATCTGCTGTGGTGCAATTGGCTCTTTTTCGTCAAGCTTGTTTTGTTTTTTTCTGTAAAGCTTGTGAACCTGTTTGAAACTCCAGCTGGATTTGAAGGGTTGCACCGCTTGAGCGCTTTCTGTTACGCAGCAACTGTTTACTGAATTTATTTATAGACAGGAAGAGGATGTTTCTGTGACCAGAGAATGAAAACGAGATTTCAACCAACTACGTTTAAAAAAAAACAGGACATAAGTGCAAGTATCTTCTCGCCTGTTGTTGATTTATCTGGTCGTAGTTCTACGATGTGAAACCTTAACACTGACACTTCTTAATGAGAAACCGCGGTTTGAGTTTATTCATTGCTATGTAATGTTTACTATTTGTATCCATGTATTATAAAAAGAAAAAAGATGCACGTGTGAAAAGCCTTTTCGTGTCGTTTGTGAGAACCGAAGCAAAGTACGCAGCCAAACCTTTGTTACAAGTGGACTTGATGACTTTGGCTTTTGTAAATTATAAAGAATGTGACGCTGTAAAAAAGAATTAAACTATTTGACATCATTTGAGCGGCTCAGGTTTGCTGCTTTTTGCTTGATGCAAACATTTTTTGCAAAAGAAACCAGAACTCAGTGGGTTAGAAATCATTATTCTTTAATAAGTTGGTAAAAATGATGGAAGAAAATGGCGAGAGAATCACTTTATGGTGATGTTGATTATGCTGATGTCCTCGTACGGTTTGTCGGTCTTGGGGTTGACTTTAGCGTTGGAGATCCTCTGGACCACCTCCATGCCCTTGATGCACCTTCCAAACACCGTGTGCTTGTTATCGAGCCAAGGCTGCGGGGCGGGGGGGAGTATAAAAACACAATACAGTCAGCTGAGAGGCCTCAGTTTGCTCAGATTACAATCTTGTCTGTTACAGAAGCTAAAGAGAAGTTAGGCTAATTCCTTTTTTATTCTTAGTGCTGCATAGAAAACACTTTCTTCTAGCATCAAACTGAAAACTAGAGTTTTTTTTACAAACCTCTGAGGAGCAAATTGTTCTTTCAATCTAAAACTAAATTCACTTCTTTTGCAGAAACTGTAAATAGAGCCTTTAAGGTAAACTTTTCATCAAACCCAAAAATAGAATATCTCCAGATTGGTGCAGAATAAAATAAAAGTTTAACTTTAACAAAAAGAAATGAATACTATAGTATATAAATAGTTTTATACGTTTTGACGAGTCCAAAATATATATAAGCATTAGCTTCTAGTTATGATAACAACATGAAGGGATTCCACGGCAACAGGAAGAATAGGTTGAGACTAGGGTTGTCAAAAGTATCGATACTGAAACGTTGTATCCGGATACAATACTCGTTTTTAAAAGTATCGATACAGTGCCACCACCAGTCGCACCTAAGCAGTCATTCATCTAAAGTGCAGAATAGAGGACAATGCACTTTCTGAACACTGTATGATTGAATAATTCTACGCACTTTTTAGTTTCAGACTATTTTCTGTAACAGGTGCAGCTGATGAGAATTATTTGTGTTTCTTAACCGGTTTGGCTAGTGTCATTGCTATGTGTGCAAAGCATAGCCAAGTAAGGAAAACTTAATTTGATAAAAAACTAAACTTTTTATCAAGCTTGCTTAATATTGTGCACAGCATATAACCTCAAAATATTGTTCCTATTGTTTATTGTATTTATTTATTGTATTTTATTTATTAATGAAAATATTTCTGTAGAATTTTGGAGTCTTTGTTTTTATCCTTGTGGCATCGAAAATGGTATCGAGTATCGAATATTTTCCTCAGTATCGGTATCGAGTTGAAAAGTTTAGTATCGTGACAACCCTAGTTGAGGCTGAGCTGTTGGCAGGTGGTTGTAGATTTTTAATTGTGCTCAGAAATGGCTTCAGGGATATTTCTCAGACTCCAGTGTAGCTAAACCTCAAGTTACAGCTCTTAACTTTTCCTTGCTGATTTTTCTTTCACCTTTCAGAGTCAACAGTATAAAAGATCATCAGGGGTAGGAAAGGAGCTCAGGACTGCTGCGCTGAATCTGGACAACCTTCAACCTTACAGATGTCATTACACACTGGTCAAACTGGGATTACAGCTTCCCAAAGAAGAACTACAAATGACGAGTTACACTGAGGAAAATAACATCTGTCACACGCAGAAAAAAATCATGTATTTTGGTTAAACTCGGTGAGGTGAGCTGCGCCTATATGGTCCTATACGTTATTGTTCCTAGCTCTGGCTATGCTAAATGAATGGGTGCTAGGAAGCTTCCTGCTTCCTCCTCCTAACTCCTTACTGACACCATTATAGAGGGATTATCAGGCAACGTCACTCTACGTCACTTCCGGCACCAATGCGCATGTCGCCTGCAGAAAGAGCCGCTAACATGTCTTGTTGTGCTGTCGGTTGCACGAACCGTTTTGATAAAAACAATAAAACGCGCAAGTTTTACCGAATCCCATCAACTCGCACCCCTTTCAAGGCAAACAAGAGACGTCTTTGGTTGCAAGCCATCAGAAGAAGCGATTGGAACGAGCAGATGATTAAAAATGCATCAATCTGCAGCGATCACTTTATATCAGGTAAGTCTTATCTATAAAAAAGCTAAACGGCATCGCTGGTTTTACAAACAATGGTTTTACATACAATTATTAAGTATTACATATATAAACGGGATTAATGAATCGTACAAAACACATTGGAGCATAACTAGCATACAAGCTAATGTACCTTGATTCAGTCTTATCAAGTTGCAACTCATCGGGTCAGCCATAAGTTTTATCATTAACATCATCACGTTGTCTGGTCTAAACTTCTCTGTGTGTGCTGTCTTTTCAATTGATTGACTAGTGTCTTAAATAAAGGTTGATGATGATTGCGTCAATACATTATTTGTACAGGAGAGGCATCAGACGACATCGACAGCCCAGACTTTGTCCCGTCTATCTTTCCATACTCAATCCAGCCCGGCAAAGACGGTGTTGCAAAACTGGAGCGGTAAGTATCACATCTGTGTGCTTGATTGTTGTCTGATTACAAGCATGACTCCACATAGTATGACTGGAAGTGCAAAGAAAAAATATTGATATATTGTAGCTATATAGGTTACCCCGGTTAAAGGTCAGAGCATGTAGTTTTTATTAGACATCTGATATGGAGAGTTGGGATGACTGAGCATGTGATTTTTATGGACTTGAATTCAGGAGATAACACCTGTGGAACTGTTTTTTTGGGGTTTTTTTTTTTTTTTTTTGCACTAAATCATTGTTCTCCCCTGTGTGTTTCAGATATAAAAGAAAAAGAAGAAGGGATGCAACCCCCAGCAGGTGTCCAGAAGATGGACATCAGTGTACACCCTCTTCCATCTGTCCAACTGAGTGTGGAATAGAGGCTGGTGCTAATCTATATAATGGTATGAAACCTTATTACTAACCTGACCAAGACGGCCTGCAAACTCATTTGGATTTTTATAAAGGGACGTAGATCTGTGTGTTCCTAAATGTTAACATATTAATTATTTTTTAAATTTTTAAATTTTATTTCAGTTTAACATGGGAACAAAGTCAGAATTCTGACTTTAATCACAGAATTCTGACTTTATTCACAGAATTCTGACTTTAATCACAGAATTCTGACTTTATTCACAGAATTCTGACTTTAATCACAGAATTCTGACTTTATTCACAGAATTCTGACTTTATTCTCAGAATTCTGACTTTTTTCCCATACTATACGGAAATAAAAAAAAAACAAAACAGTTAACTTTTTTTTTTCCAGTGGCCCTTATCCTCTTCCGTACTAGTGGGATTAATCAGTTAGTAATGTTTATATTTGTTGCGAACAGGTATTTGCCCTGATCACCCAGAATGTAACCATTTGTTTTTTGTAAAGATAAGAATGTAAAATTTGTATTTATTTTTCAGAAGGTATGGTCCCAAAGACTGTCCATGATGACCTCCAGCTGAAGTACAGCCAACTTCATACAGAGTGTGATAACCTGCGTGAGGACATCAACAAACTGAAAACAGAGAATGAACAATTAAAAGAAATGCTCGGGACTGCACAGTTCTCTTTTGCGTCACTGCAGTGTAAAGCAGCACAGGTGCTGTTTTTCACAGGTCTAACCAGTGCCCTCTTTAATTGGGTCCTGCAGACGGTTAAGGACAGTGTTGAGGTCATCCGTGGCTCTCTGACCCTAGAGGATCATCTTTTGGCTGTACTCATGAAACTCAGATTAGGACTCACCAACAAGGATATTGCATTCCGATTTAATGTTAACGAATGTGACATCTCTAAAATCTTAAGAAGTTGGCTGCCTATTATGTCTCAGATTTTGAAACCTTTGATCAAGTGGCCAAGTAAGCATGCTATATTAAAGAATATGCCAAAATGTTTCAAACCTAAATACCAGCGTCTCAGGTGCATTATTGACTGCACAGAAATTTTTATTAATAGACCAACAAATTTAACAGCCAGAGCCCAAACATATTCAAATTATAAGAGCCATAACACGGTTAAGTATTTGGTTGGCATGTCACCTGCAGGAGCAATTACATTTCTGTCTGCAGGTTGGGGTGGGCGTGTTTCTGACAAACAACTTACAGCCGAGTCTGGATTTTATGACCTTCTACAAGTAAATGATGGGATACTAGCAGATCGTGGTTTTACCATTAGAGATGAGCTTGCCTTGCGTGGTGCTACCCTGAGGATCCCTCACTTTACCAAAGGTAAAAAGCAGTTGTCCGCTCAAGAGGTGGAAACATTGAGGCGTTTGTCCAATGTTAGAATACACATTGAAAGAATAATAGGGAGATGGAAAACTTTCCGAATTCTTACTACTGTTATTCCTTTATCACAGGTGGACCTGTTAGATGACATTGTAATTGTTTGTGCAGCATTGACAAACATTTGCAAATGCATAGTCCCTAGAAAATAAATTAAAAGCCCTTAATTGAATTGTGCCAAAATTAAGGCCTTAATGTTGTTAACATCTATGAATTGAGGTTTAAATGTCATTGAATATTTTTTTTTTTTTTTAAATGACTGCCTAAGTATTTTCACTGCATAAGCTCATTGAACATTCAAAAGCTGTGGTTTAAAACATTTTGCAGCAGTTTTGGTTCAAAATGTGTGTTGTATCCAGTTTGCTTTTGAATATTGAGATTTTTCCTCATTCCTCTGTTGTATGATATATTTGAAAATCTTAAATGAAATATGCAGATATTTTGCTTTGTGTTTTGCCATTGAAAATAAAACAATTCAATCAGCTGATACCTGTGTAAACACGGTGTAAATATTAATAAAGTATTCAAGAGTCAAGGAAACATTGAAATATATTTATTCTTGTGCATGTAACCAATAATAAAAATAACAATATTAAACATTCTTGTCATAAGATGCACACTGAGAACCTTAGTGCATACTTTGAATGGTAAGCACAGGTACAGTTACAACTCTATGTTTCAGAGTGCATTTTTTCTAGTTTTTCTGTTTTTTGCACTGATCACAATACCATTCTTTAGCCTTTCTTTTTACTTTTGCACATTCGTAGTGGAAATGCCTATTGCACTTTGCACAAGTGGGAATGAATGTCCAGCCACTGAATTTTGGGCCATTTTTTCTCGTCATTTATCTACTCACCGGCATGTAACGCGTATGGGTCATTAAGACGTATTGCATTAACTAGTGTTAATTTAGCAGCATAACTTATTTTATCACTAGGTGATAAACTGTTGTAGTACGCTGACAACATCGCTAGCTAGCAGATCGCAACTGCTGAATAACCGCGTATAATCAAAACATTCAACCAGACGCTTTAAAGTACCAGGCACTTTTTGCAGTCAAGATGCGCGCGCATCCGCCGTGTTGATAAACAAATAATCCCTCTATTAACACTTCTGCTGTGACCTCTGTGTGTTCAGAGAATTTAGTTATTCAGATCGAACTCTGGTTTCATTCTGCCTCAGTGCTGCCCTCTATGGTTTGAAGCTCAGCTACTGCAGATGAAATTTTCTATGAGTTAAAGCTTTGCCTTGGCCCCAAACTTCATTTCTAATTATTAGTGCATGTGTTTTTTGTTTTTTTTTTAAGTTACATCTACACCTTTTTTAAGGGAAAAGGTGAGGTTTAGTTTTCTTAACATCTTTTGTAGTTTTACTAGTTTTAGTGTCATATATATATATATATATATATATATATATATATATATATATATATATATATATATATATATATATATATATATATGGTAAAAACATGCAAAGTATTTCTGCACTTGACACATGAGGTTGTGTAATAAATAAATTTATTTATTTAGTTGCTAAATCTAAATAAATAGGGTAAAAAAATACAAAGGAAGGATAAACCAGACAAAATATTATAACATGCTCATAAATAAATACTTAAAGAAATAAGTAATAAAGTTGAAGAATATAACTGGTAATAAATAAATAAGGTAAATATTACAAAGGCAAAGAAGCTAATTAAAAGATATATATTTATGTCTCACTGTATAATTTATTTTTTCTCTACATTCGTTTACTGCATTGGGGAGCAGTTAATTGTATGCTTATTTATTTATTTCTGTATTTTTAATTATGGCACGATTGGTCCTCCAGAATGGATGAGATGTGTATGTGTATATATATATATACACTATATTGCCAAAAGTATTTGCTCACCCATCCAAATTATTGGAATCAGGTGTTCCAATCACTTCCATGGCCACAGGTGTATAAATTCAAGCACCTAGGCATGCAGACTGTTTTTACAAACATTTGTGAAAGAATGGGTCGCTCTCAGGAGCTCAGTGAATTCCAGCGTGGAACTGTGATAGGATGCCACCTGTGCAACAAATCCAGTCGTGAAATTTCCTCGCTCCTAAATATTCCACAGTCAACTGTCAGCTGTATTATAAGAAAATGGAAGTGTTTGGGAACGACAGCAACTCAGCCACGAAGTGGTAGGCCACGTAAACTGACGGAGCGGGGTCAGCGGATGCTGACGCGCATAGTGCGAAGAGGTCGCCAACTTTCTGCAGAGTCAATCACTACAGACCTCCAAACTTCATGTGGCCTTCAGATTAGCTCAAGAACAGTGCGCAGAGAGCTTCATGGAATGGGTTTCCATGGGCGAGCAGCTGCATCCAAGCCATACATCACCAAGTGCAATGCAAAGCGTCGGATGCGGTGGTGTAAAGCACGCCGCCACTGGACTCTAGAGCAGTGGAGACGCGTTCTCTGGAGTGACGAATCGCGCTTCTCCATCTGGCAATCTGATGGACGGGTCTGGGTTTGGCGGTTGCCAGGAGAACGGTACTTGTCTGACTGCATTGTGCCAAGTGTAAAGTTTGGTGGAGGGGGGATTATGGTGTGGGGTTGTTTTTCAGGAGCTGGGCTTGGCCCCTTAGTTCCAGTGAAAGGAACTCTGAATGCTTCAGCATACCAAGACATTTTGGACAATTCCATGCTCCCAACTTTTTGGGAACAGTTTGGAGCTGGCCCCTTCCTCTTCCAACATGACTGTGCACCAGTGCACAAAGCAAGGTCCATAAAGACATGGATGACAGAGTCTGGTGTGGATGAACTTGACTGGCCTGCACAGAGTCCTGACCTCAACCCGATAGAACACCTTTGGGATGAATTAGAGCGGAGACTGAGAGCCAGGCCTTCTCGTCCAACATCAGTGTGCGACCTCACAAATGCGCTTCTGGAAGAATGGTCAAAAATTCCCATAAACACACTCCTAAACCTTGTGGACAGCCTTCCCAGAAGAGTTGAAGCTGTTCTAGCTGCAAAGGGTGGACCGACGTCATATTGAACCCTATGGATTAGGAACGGGATGTCACTTAAGCTCATATGTGAGTCAAGGCAGGTGAGCAAATACTTTTGGCAATATAGTGTATATATAAATATATATATGAAAAAATCACTAACCAGGGAGCACCAATATGGCGGACGGTGACTTCACTTCAACCCCGTACTACCAACGGGGTAGAGATCAGTGTAGCAAACAGTACAATTAAGGATGTAACAAGAGCGAGAGTGCAAGTGTGCCACCTACTGGCCAGGAGGAGTAAACTTGTATCTAGCTCCTATAAGGGTTCTATCTTTATGTTCATCAATGGATTGAAGGGCCTTTTGCGTAAATAAATGGGGAGCACATCTAACAGTTAACCTCTAGCTAATATAATGACTTACTGTTGGTACAACGGTGATGAAAAACTGGGATCCGTTGGTGCCGGCACCAGCGTTGGCCATGCTGAGCGTATACGGGCGATCGTGCCTCAGGGTGGAGTGGAACTCATCTTCAAACTCGCCTCCCCAGATGCTCTCTCCTCCCATGCCCGTGCCGGTGGGGTCTCCGGTCTGGATCATGAAGCTCTGTATGGAAATGGAGGCTCAGACTGAGACACAGCGTCACAACTGTTGACCCTCCAACTGAGGTGATAAAAATATCCCACCTTGATAACTCTATGGAAAATGTGATTGTTGTAATATCCGTTCCTGCTGTGAACGCAGAAGTTCTCCACTGTTTTGGGACACCTGAACCAAACACAGATAAAGAGTTGTTTGCTTTTTTATTACAACTGTTAAAAGGAGATCTGTTCAGGTTTTCAACCTACTCCACAGGGAACAGCTTGAGATGGATGTCTCCCATGGTGGTGTGGATGATGGCGCTGTCCGACACCCTCTTGGGCCCCTCGGCCTGAGTGGCGGCCATAACTTCCTCCTTGGAGGGCTTCTCGTTAAAGATGTCTCTGTCCGAGTCGGCGCTCTTTGTGTCTTCCGGTTCTCTTTTTGTAAACTGACAGAAGAAAACGAACCGATGACGACAGAAAGGAAATGTTAGAAGCTGCACCTTAAAGCGAGCGTCCCGCCGTCTCACCATGTAGAAGCGGTTCTTCTTAAAGGCGGTGCAGAAGATGGTGGGGTCGGGCTCTCTGCTCTGTAGGGCGGGGTTGTCGGAGGCTTTCATCTCTATCGTGGGGGCCACCTCCATGGCCTTTGCGACGCCCTGGAACAGACACAGCTGGACCACGCGGATGTTCTCCTGCTTCCCGAGGATTCGCACACATCTGGTAGAGAACAGACAAGTCTGTGAGGTCTGGTCCCGATTTTAGGATGCAAATGTGGACAAAATTGTTTTTTGCCCTAATTTGCCCACAATGCTCGCAGGATAACTTGAATCTGACAAAAAGTAATAATACAAATTCTAAAAACCCATCAAACGGGCCTGGACAAAAAAATGGCAACCCTAGAAAACAATGTGACCAAAGGGACAAATCAAGGTGTGATGTTATGTTATTTTTTAAATTTTGACTAATTTCATTGATTTCTGTGGCCATTGTTTATTTTTCTTAACTTTGTTCATGTGTGTAAAAACTAGGGCTGAAACAATCAGATAAATCGATTTAAATAGAGATTCTAAAACATGCGACCCACTTAGAACAGTAATTACATAAAAATTGTAAAAAATATATATAACATTTTGCACTTAAGATAAAAAAATGTTAAAATATTTAATCTGTCTATATGCTCTATCCAGAACTCCTCAAGAAGAAAAGTTTTAGTTTCACTTGGTTTCATTCTGTAAAAATCTTCTTTAAGGAAACTTCAGCTGTTAATTGATTGATCTAAAACATAATCGACAGATTAATTGATTTGCAAAATAATCGTTAGTTGCAGCTTTAATAAAAACATGATTTTTAGCACCATGGTGAAAAGATGCTACAGCTGCTAAAACTTCTGATTTTATTTAAAACTCTTCTTCTAATTCAACGGCCGTCACTAAAAAGTAGAGATAACGTCCATAAACCACAAAGAACCAAATCCACTGGAGGACGTGTGAACGGGAAGCCAGAGGCAAGACGGAAAATGTACTTTATAACGATTTAAAGTCGTTAACGGGGAGAAGAAAATAAAACTGCCACCTCAGAACTTTTCATTGGAAATATTTAGTTGGAACCAACTGCTCAACCTGCACACTTTGATTTGGATCAAAGAATAAACACATGAATGGATAAAAAAAAAAAAGATGGATGATCCAACTATTAGAAAACATGACAGAATAAAAAACAGCATTTTTTTCGATTTGTTTTCCTTTTTTCTTACATATTTATACTAATGTAGATTTTCTTATTATCAAACTTAAACATTTTCTTGGTTGATATAAATCCAGAAAAATCATAACAACCTGATTTTATCATTTAGATGCTAATAATATAGCCACTCATTAAAACCAACGCTTTGTTGACAGTAAAACAGAATCAGATTCAGAGACGGGAGAAGTTCTGGTTCCTCTGCTGTGTTTTTAGGACAGGATGTGATGTCGCCTTCGGGACGGACACATGAAGAACCCACCTGTTGGTTTCCACGTTAATGACCTTAATGCCCAGCATGGTCCCGTACAGGACGAAGTGACCCGTCTCGTCAAAGATGATGTTGGTCAGCCGGACGCCGTCCACCTTCTCCAGTTCCCGCTCCACGGCCATCCGCCTGCCGAACTCCATGTCGGGCAGCTGCTGCCTCATCTGCTGCAGCTCTGTGAACATCTAACGGACGGAGAGCAAGCGGGTCAAACGGGGCGCGGCGAAGACGAGGCAGAACCGGACGGATAAATAAGAAAAACTCACCGTCAGAGACTCGTCAAACACTCTCATCAGCTTCCCCGTCAGGAAGCGGAAGATCCTCACTTTCCTGTCAGACGCTATGGTCGCCATCTTCTTCCCATCGGGGGAGAAGGCCAGGCTGATGGGGTAGGTTTTATGCTTCGCAAATTCATACAAGTCTGTGTCCGTTTTGTACTCCCAGTCCACATGTTTGGGGAACTTGAATTCGTTCGGGAGGCCCGTCCAGTATTCCAACATTCCCGCTTTGTCCGCCGACACGATGACTCGGAATCTTGCATTGAGGCGGATTTGGGTGAGGGGAGAGGAGTGGAGCTTGTCAAAGAGGTGAAGGGGCTGGTTGCTTCCTCTTCCATTGTACACAAATATCTTTCCTGTGGGTTTTTCGGAGCAGGCCACGGTGCAGATGGCATCCCCGGGATTGTAGATCCACTCACACTGGCCTGGATGAAACCTACAGACACAAGGAGGCGCTATTATACAGCTTTTCTGAAGCAATCACACCCCTTGATCCTTGTTACAAACAAAAACATGTATGTGCTTTCATTGGACTTTTAAAACACATTTTTATAAACAAGATAAAATCTTAAACATGAATTTAAAAGCCCGGTCGCTTTAATCCAAAAAAAAACTGATTACAAGTCACCTAATGAGTCACTTCCTGTCATTAAATCTCCTCTGTGAAGACCTGGGAGGTTTGTTAGAAGACAAACAGCATCACAAATGTTAAATCACTTCACCTAAACCAACAGGGCGAAAGAGGAGAGCCTTAAAGCCGCCACATGGTTTCTCTGAAGGAGCTCATCCAATGTGCTGGTATTAAATTGCAGCATATTTCAAGAAGTAATTTTTCAGCAATAATATTGACTTTAGAGTAAAAAATACCAGGAAGAAGTTTCCTTATCTTCAGTGAGAAGCAGCCAATTAGACATCAGGGTTTCTAGTCCCGCCTCTTTCACTTTGATGGATGTCTGACAGATTGAATTCATTCAGGAAACATGAAATCATTTATTAAACCATGAAGGGCCCAAAATGTTAATTGGCTTAAATGGGATTAATCAATTATTGAAATAATCAACTAATTTAGTGATCGATGAATTGTTAATTGGAGTATAGAGACCGTAAAACATGCCTTTAACTGACAAACAGAGTACCGTGTTTTCACGACTATAAGGCGCACTTAAACGTCTTTTTTTTCCCTCAAAATGTGCGGTGCGCCCTATGTGTGTTGTAACTGCGACTTTTGAGACCACCTCATTGAGGAGATGATGAAAGAGTGGCTGAATGTAAGGAGACCAGGTGTTTTTTTTTTCCACCCCTCACCATCGCTGTTAATATGTAACTCCATGCGTGCCCATCTCACAGCTGATGTGAAAAACATGGGGAAACAAATTAACGCTGTGCTCGCTGTTCAACCGCTCAACATCGGTGTGAACCGGACCCAGCAGGTGCAGCAGAAGCAGCGAGTTTACATGCAAAGTCAATGGTTGACGCGCGTATAGGCGCAGCAAAGGTCCTGCAGCGCGTTTTGAGCCGCAGGTGCAGCACGTCGGGATCGTTTAAGTATCTGACGCACCACCAACGCGCTGCTGCTGCTCGAGATGGAAAAATTTAAGTTTTGCTGCTGGACGCGCCGCATCAACCAATCAGAGAAGCTGATCTGGGAGCTGACAGCGAGACAGACAGCGCTCTGATGACATATTATATTAAATGAAAAAGGCTGGATGGATGAGGAGATGATGAAAGCTTGGCTGAGGCAGGTGTATGTGAGGAGACCAGGTGGTTTTTTCCACGCATCACCATCGCTGCGTGCCCATCTCACAGCCGATGTGAAAAAAGGTGAATCAAATGAACGCTGTGCTCGCCGTTATCCCGGGGGTTCAAAGTAAGGCTGCGAGCGGCGTGGGAGCGATGGATGACAGACTGAGATCACAGTTTCAGGATAAGTGGAAGGCAGCGCCGGGCAAGTTACGCCACCGTTTGCGGATGGATTGTAGATGCTTGGACTAACGTGTCTGCTGGCTCTGTTGTTCAAGCTTTCGCAAAAGCCGGCATTATTTCTGAGGAGCCGCGCTGCACGGAAAGTGACTCTGACAGCGAAGAAGGGGAAACTGGCATGTCTGATTTAGCGCAGCTGTTTAATTCAGAAACAGAGGATGATGACTTTGATGGGTTTGATTAATACTTTGTAATAAATACATGAATAAAGCACAATCACACTCAGTTTTGCTCCCGCTCTATTTTTCTACCTGAAAACTTAATTCAACAGCAGGGCGGGTCTGGGCGGGTCTCCTCCTCTTCACCGCTGTGGCTGGCAGGTGTTTTTTCATCTAAATAATCTAAATCTTGCAGCTATATTTGCTGTGATCAGGGGGAATAAAGTAGTTTTAATATGTTTTTAAGTGAGAAAGTCCACCTGAAAACTTCATAATTGCAGTCAGTTCATCCAGATTATCTATTTCTGTCGGAGGCGCTCAGACCCCCACATACCAGCGGTGCACCGACAGTAGAAATCCTTTCGTTCACCGCGGCTGCTGGCAGGTGTTTTTCATCTAAATAATCAAAACTGCAGGCACCAGGATACCGGTAATAAAAGCGAACATATTCTGTCGGCAGGTTTCAGGATTTTAAGTTAATTTAGGAGTGATCACAGCGCTGTGTCATCTGCGATGTGTCTGTCTCACGGCCAGCCGCCAGGTTTGATTAATACTTTGTAATAAATACATGAATAAAGCACAGTCATACTCAGTTTTGCCCCCGCTGTATATTTAAATACGCAGTAGAGGTATTTAAAGGTAGTAGAGGACTTGTACCTGTATATAAAAAACGCGCCCTATAGTCCGGTGCGCCTTATGTGTGTGTTAAATACAGAAATGGGACACATAACTGAGAGTGCGCCTTTTAGTCCGGTGCGCCTTATGGTCGTGAAAATACGGTAGTAATCATATTAAAGTTGTAAAAAAGTAAAATACAATTTAAACATAATGCAATTAAGATAAAATAGACTTTTTAATCTATCAATATTCTCTATCCAGATCTCCTAAAGTGGAAAAGTTTCACCTGGTTTGATTTCGTAAAAAATCTCCTTTAAGGAACCTTTGGATATCCGATTATTAATCAATTAATCGAAAAAATTATCTATAGATTAATCAATTTGCAAAATAATCGTATTTCACATTTTAAAACATTTATTTCATAGGTTATTTAGTTACAGCATTACGCCACTCATCATCGGGGATATTCATATAACCCCAATTTGTTTTATGAAAGCCACTAAGCCAAAAAATTGTGTCCTGTAGAGAAAAGTCACCCTTAGTCCAGGTATTGCTTTCAAGTAGTGATGTCATGAGATGAGCCAAGGCTTGAGGCGTGTGTCGAGTAACGGAGGGGGCGTTTCCATGACGCGCGTGTCGAGGCGTGATTCATTTAGAGGAGGGGCCAAAATTGATGACGTCCGAGACCTCGCTACCGTGATAGTAGTAGTATTATTCAGTCAAGATTTGGGAGTTTGGAGGAGAGTTTCTGTCAGCTGGATAAAGCTTGGATAGATTCTAAGAATAGATTGGTTGTTTTTCTAACCAATCTAGTTGCTTAAAACTATTTTTGTTAGAATAAAAAATGTAATGATAAAAATCTTTGTTAACAGTTATCTACATAGGTGGCGTCAATTGTAAGACTCAGACTCTCACACTAGAGGTTGATGGTTTAAGACCCGTCTTTGCCTTTTGAAAGTGGCGATTAAACTTAATTATTTTGGCTGATGAGACTAATTTGCATTGTTTTGCCCGAGTAAAAATATAGATGGGTAAATTAGGTCTGTTTAGCCAAAAGATTAGTTGAACACAACTTCCAACCCGATTAAAACCAAAAAACGTGGAAAAACTATCATGTTTGAACAAAAATGCACCTTTCATTTTGCTCATCATTGCCCCATTTAAACAAACACTTTCCCTGCCTGCTTGAGTTTATTTCACTAAAATGGAAGAAAAACTGCACCTTAAATGATTGTTCTAAGAAATTTTTACACTTAAAACAAATGACAAAGGATTTTATTATACACACCAACCATTAACAATTTCAAAGAAAAAGAGGTGAAAAAAAGAAAAAAAAACTGCAAAAAATCACAGATTTCATTACAAACTGTAGTTCTGCTGTCCACCAGTAGGTGGTGCCATGTTCACATGGAGCCTTATGAACTGTGGGGTTCGTTGAAGCAATTTGGCCAAACGCTTCAATGCCTCACGAGGCTTCATCTCACTATCACTACTTTCAAGCCACCATTTTTAAGAATCCTTTTGACAAACTAATATATGCAGAAGGTGAAATATAAAGTTCTACGATAGAAGAATTCAATGTTTTCTAAACCAAACAATGACATACTATAGGAGGGGTAAATACAAACGCTTTGGACTACTTACTGTTGGTCTATCAGAAAAAATATATTCTAGTTTGTTTGTAACATGACATAATAAAAAAAAAGCTTCAGTCAGGGTTTTATACAGGTTATAATAAAGAAAACAGACCAATATCTGTGGTGTCCTGCAAACGGCACTCAGACTCACCCCAGCTTCAGCATGTTGATCATGTCAAAGTTGACCACATCAAAGACCTTCATGGCCTGATCGTCGCCCACAGAGCAGAAAAGAGCTCCCTCAGCGCTCACCGCGATGCTCTCTATTACAGCTGCACACCACAAAAAATGAAAATCAATAATTGTTCAAAAGAGTCAGTTGAAAACCAGGGAGAGGCTCTGCTGATCAGACTGAATCCACTTCATACCCAGATGACTTCGAAAGTGTTTCACAAACTCGATTCCCTCGTCCTCCTTCTTCTTCCAGAATTTCACGTGGCCGTCCTGGCTGGCGGTGATGATGAAGTCAGTCCTGGGATAAGTGAATAATAAAAAAAGAAAAAAGTCTTAAGATCCCAGTGGACTTTTCAGATAGACTAAAAATGTTTTCTAACCCTTTACCGAAAAAATAAGACACTTCTAAGATTTCAGACCATCAACAAATCCTGACTACCAGATATATTTTAAGAGAATGAAGTTATCCAAACCAGCCCAGTCCTATGTGATAAAGTAGTTCCCTTCTTTTCAATATATATAATTGTTTTGGTTAAACTCATATTCTGTTCCATTTTACCGGCAACAACAGACCCTAAGAATGTTAAGAACAGATGATAAACAGTCAGTCATTCACAGCTATTATCCACAAATGGAGAAAGGAGAACAGTGATGAAGCTTCCCAGGATTGGCTGGCCAACGCTGCTCAGATCATCATGTCAATTTTACTGTACACAGTGTTAATATCACAAAGGACTTTCTGGAATATGGTAATAGGAGCTTATTAGAATATTGACAGCTGTTTTGAAATCAAATTTGCATGCTCAATCTTTTTCAGCCGTTAAGATAGGAGTCAGCATTGAGCAGACGCCCACAGCTGAACCAGATCCAACTGATTATCCCCAAACACCTCAAAGAACAGACTTTTCCCCACTGCCATTAGACTGTTGAATGTTATGTAAAATGGGTTATAAAAAAACAAAAAAAAACCCCAAAACTTAATGTTAGAACTGTAACTACACAGTCATACTGTTTTTTTCATCACAATGTTTTCATCACTGCTGCTTACCTTATTAAGGCTGCACAAAAATGAAATAGTCTGGAGAGCCGTACTAAACGAAATTTATGTTTGTTTACACTTCTGCGTACATAATGACAAAATAAAATCCGTCTAAGTCTAAAAGTGGAGACAATGGGTGCTTAAAGAATGAGATCCCAGATACAGGCGAATGAACTGAGTTTTTTTTCGTAGTGTGTCTGGGATTTCCCTTAGAGATAGGATGAGGAGCTCAGTCATCTGGGGAGGACTCAGAGTAGAGCCGCTGCTCCTCCACATCGAGAGGAACCTGTTGAGGTGGCTCGGGCATCTGATTAGGATGCTTCCTGGACGTCTCCCTGGTGAGGTGTTCCAGGCACGTCCCACCAGGAGGAGGCCCAGAGGGAGACCCAGGACAAGCTGGAGGGACTATGTTTCTCGGCTGGCCTGGGAGCGCCTTGGGATTCCCCCTCGAGGAGCTGGCCAAGTGGCTGGGGGAGGGATGTCTGGGCCTCCCTAATGAAGCTGCTACCCCCTCAACCCTACCTCGGATAAGTGGAAGAAGATGTATGGATAGGTACTTATGCGAGTGACAGTGAAATTTCCTTCTAATAATGTTGTTTTTGCACAATTTTCTAATTATCATCTAATAGTAAAATTAGTCTAAGAGAATATGAACCCAGAACAAGATCTAATGCATGCAGCCAAACTGATTTCCTGTCTGAGTGATTCAGCAGGAAGACTGGATCAGATAAGATTCAACCTCTTTCTTAATGCTAATCCCAAAGCATATAATATTTAGTCTTGAATCATAACTGGAAAACAGCACAGCATGCATGACTGAGTACCAGATCTAAAACCACTGTTGGGCCAAAAAAAAAAAAAGAATTTCTTACACCAGGACTACTTTGGAGTTTAAAATCCAAAATGCAAAAACTCACTCAGAAATTATGTGAATTATTTCCAAACATTTAAATACAGCATCTTCATTCCATTTAATTTTAATTGTTGAAACAGAAATGTTCATGGTCATTACAATTTAAATTAATTTATTTTTGTTTGTCACTTACTTTGAGCAGACCAAGTGTGTGATGACGTCTCTGTGCATGTAGCTCCTCTCATACATGGCAGCTGAAGGCAAATTATCCAGGTAGACACGCTCAAATTCGAGCACTGATGGAAAAACAAACCCAACAACAAAAGAAAGGAGCAACAAACAGGATTAAAGGTTTGTTATTAGCAAACGGTAGCAGAAGTTGAACACGGCCGCCATAATGTTGCTAATTCTGTGCTGAAAACACCACCTTTTCTTTTCTTCGCCTTCGTGGCTTCGCTCGGCATGGGTCCCACCCAGTCCGCATCTTCTCCATCTCCATCCGTATTTAACTTCTGTTCCTGTTCATCTTCGGCTTTTCTCTTCAGCTCCGCGCTGTTCTCAGCGGCCGCCATAGCTGCAAGGCTTCCGTCTGGTCCGTCTTTGGTAGCGACACTTCCGTTTGTTATGTGTTTTTCGTCTGTTTAACTTAAAACCTTAGAAAAATATTATAATTAAACAACATTATTTCCCCAATATATACCGAAGTACTAGTTTAAATTATGATCAACTGTAAGCATTTTTCTGCTTCAACGTGAGGCTTCCAGAACTAAATAGAAACTGATGTTTCCGCGGACCAGTTATCATCAGCACTCAGGTTAAACCAATCCTCATCCATAGAGGGGTGTCCTTGAATGAGTTTAATTTCATATCTCTCTGTGTGTAGCGTTCTTTTGGTTGGATACACTTGTACTTAAATCAACATTATGTGTTTACATATATTTTCAAGTTTAGGGTCTTAAATGTACTGAATAAAAAATAATTATGAATATACTTCTTGGAAGCTACCCGGGTTCTTGCACATAAACACAGCGCTAGTCAACATGGCTGTAGAAAGGAAATCTTAATATTTCTCACTTTTACGAAAAGCATCCTTCAGTGTTAAGATTACTAGTTAATAGTTCTTCTGAGAGATAAAGTTTACTAAAGTGATTGTTGTACATTACAGAAAAAAAAATCGTAGCTCGTCAAAATGAGCAACATTTACATCCAGGAACCTCCAACAAATGGAAAGGTGGGCGCTTTTCTTTTTTATGTATGTTGGGATATCTTTGAAATAACTGTATTTAGTCATTAGAAGATAATGTGAATGCGTTTTTTCATATTTGAATGCCTTTTAGGTCCTATTGAAGACCACAGCCGGGGAGATTGATATCGAGCTGTGGTCCAAAGAGGCTCCTAAAGCATGCAGGAACTTTGTGCAGCTGTGCATGGAAGGTAAACAAGTCAATAAGTTTAGTTATATAGCGCCAATTCACAACACGTCTCATCTAAGGGCACTTTAAATTTCAACAAGATTATACAGTCAGATTGGTTAAAGTTTTCAATCTAAGGAAAACCAGTGGATTGCATCCACTCATTGACTGGAATGCAATCCCTCATACTAAGCATGCTTGTAGTGACAGTGGAGAGGAAAAACTCCCTTTTAACAGGAAGAAACCTCCAGCAGAACCAGGCTCAGTGTGAGCGGCCATCTGCTGAGATCGAATGGGGTTCAAAGAGACAGAAGCAGAGATACAACAAATTGCAGAAAACAAAAAGCTGAATTATTTTATTTCCAGAACACATGTCACGGGACAGGGTTCTTTTTTCCTGTTTTTTTTTTAAGTGAAATATAAGTCAATAAGAGAATATATATTTGAATATACGCTGTCATTTTAAATAAATGTTAAATATTTCGACCAAAAGTTGACATACCGTATATTTTCTTCCTCTGTGTTTTGGTTTTATTGCTCATTTTCAAACTATGTGTTTGTAGAGGGGAAAAAAACCTTTAAGTGTACAGTATACATTTATAAAAGATTTTAAAAAAATAGCAAATTGCCTTTTTTATAAAGTAGTTGTGTTGTTATTGTTTAGGGTTTAAAACGAGGAAGTACAACTACTGTATATATTGATACTATGTACATCATTTTTTACTAATCTAACATTATTTAGTTTTAGTATTTCATTGAAAAGCGAGGTTGCCTTGTTTTATAAAGCAGTTCTCTTTTCCTTAGGTTACTACGATGGGACCATTTTCCACAGAGTGGTTAGGGATTTCATTATTCAGGGAGGGGATCCTACAGGAACTGGAATGGGAGGAGAGTCCATCTATGGCCACCCGTTTAAGGTCAGGAGGCTTTTTTTTGTTTTGTTTTTAATTCCTGAAGTGTATTGAAATCTGCAAACCAAAACTTCTATGGAGTAAACAAACAATTCAGCTGACTCAATGTATGTTTGATCTTGAACATCTACAAAACCTTCCATAAAACTTTAGGATGAGTTCCACTCCAGGCTGCGCTTCATTCGGAGAGGTTTGGTCGCCATGGCGAACGCTGGGCAGCATGACAACGGGAGCCAGTTTTTCTTCACTTTGGGGCGTGCAGATGAGCTCAACAACAAGCATACGATATTTGGAAAGGTATTATATAAAGCATAGCCTTTTCTCCACACATCGATACAGGGACTCAGGATATTCTTAACATGTTAGCCCTCTGTTCTCTTGTTGAAGGTCACTGGAGACACCATTTACAATCTGCTCCGGTTAGCAGAAGTTGAATGCGATGCAAATGAAAGGCCTCTAAAGCCGCACAAGATAAGAACAGCTGAGGTATGTCTTTGAAACGTTGTGTCTTTTTATATATATATATATATTTATATATATATATATATATAATTTTGTGTTGAATCCAGCACTGATGTCGCTAATGTTTTCCAGGTTTTACATTCTCCTTTCGATGACATCGTACCTCGGGAAACCAAAAAATCCAAAAAGGAAAAGGATAAAGAGGAAGCTAAGAAATCTCAGTCCAAAGCTACAAAGTGAGTGTTTAAGACACCGTCTTCATCTTTTTTTCTTTTCAGGCTCATTGTAGCTGTGCAAAAAAACCCTTTTTTATAAATAAATCATAAACATACAAACATTAAATAAATAGACCTTCAAAATGTCTATTTGTATGTCTCAGTCTCGTTTTAACAAAAACATGGTGTAAAATTGTGAACTGCATGGAAGGCAGTCTGTTTGAATCCATTATTTTGGATCCATTCTTATATCATATTCTGTCCTGAACATTTTTGCAGTTAAGTTCAGGTATTTATGTGGTTTAAACTATGAAAACATTTTGGGTCATCTCTATCCGATCAGGACCTGAGTGAAGTTGGCCCCCCAACCCTCTTCAAAGCAGTACAAAAAATGTACATATTTTAAAATATGCATTTGATTATTATTATTATATTTTATATTATTTTATATTTAAAATTAATTTTAACATTTTATATTTTTGTATGGCAAACATTTTCATTTTTACTGCTGTCATTTTAATGATATTAATAATATTTTGTAGAGGTCATCAAAGGTCAGTTAACATCTGTTTTTGCTGCACAAACCAGCACAAACGTAGCACAAATGTTTGACACCAATTTTGTCTAATTTGAAGAAAGTGGGGGGGGGCTGGTTGACCTTTGATGACCTCTAGAAACATTTCTTTTTATCTTTAAAATGATAGTGGCACAAACGAAAACTTTTGCTGCACAAACGTAGCACAAAGGTTTGACACTAATTTTGTCTAATTTGAAGACGGTGGGGGTGGGGGGGGGGGGGGGGTGGGGGGGGGGGGGGCTGGTTGACCTTTACATTTTCCATTAATATCTTCAAAGCCAAAGCAGCACAAATGACAATTTTTGCCGCAAAAACAGCACAAACGGAGCCAAGTTAATCAACACCCATTTTGTCTGATTTGAAGAAGGTGGGGGGGCTGGATGACCTTTGATGACCTCTAGAAATATTTATTTGTATCTTTAAAATGATAGCGGCACAAACGAAAATTTTTGCTGCACAAACGTTTGACACTAATTTTGTTTGATCTGAAGAGGGTGGGGGGGCCAACCTCACTCAGGTCTGATCAGGTATTTTAAAGATGCAGGGATTTGAAAATCTGGGACCAAATCGACCTCTAATGATAATAATACCGCTGTAATGGCTGATAACGCTGGCATTGCTTATCTGCAACAGCTAAACACCCACAATCCTTTGCTGCATAAGTATCACCGTCAGATAACCAAACAAACCGATACAACTTTTTCATTTCTGATACATTTGCAGGAATCATTTATAATTTGATCACTTATTCTGTAGGGAAATGATTGAAAATGATTGATCAAGTCTTATAACTCAAACAGAGAATAGTTTTCCTCAGATATAAGAACAACTGACCCTTGTCTTATTAACCAATGAGTTACAGAAACTTAAAACAAAAGCAGAATGTTTTTTAGTAGCTTGCTGATATGAGACTCGAGATTAGGGCTGATGTATTCTGATATTAATTTATTCAATATTGGATCCTTTTCCTATTTTAATATCGAAATCGGACATCCCTAAAGCCCAACACAGCCGTCACCTTTCCCTCCTGAAACATAGGCAACTACTATATTGAAATAAACACTGGTTAATTATATCAGCCCTATTTTAGTGATTGGATCAACCTGTCTAAAGATGAGCAGCTTTGTCTGATAATGATGGTAATGCTGATATATCTTCCATCCCTGAGGATTTTCTCTTGGTGAAATTTCCCTTGCTGATTTTCTCTTCTTTTTTTTCTTTCCTTCTGACTTATCTATAGTGCCTTTGGGAAAAAAATGTCACCTTTATGCTCTTAAGTTTTGTTTAATGGTGATGATTCAGTGAACATTTTTTATATTTGTAGGAACTTCAATCTTTTATCGTTTGGAGAAGAAGCCGAGGAGGATGAGGAGATGGTGACCCAAGTTAGCCAGGTACTGATTAGCTCTGACTTTCTCTCCAGCTCCAACCGCCCATCAGTCACCCATTTTTAAACCTGGAATTGCATTTAGAGGAGAAGAAGAAAGTACCCGTTAAAGATTAGAGCTAGATTAATGTTCAGGGGAAGCTGTGCTTCACTTCCAGATATGAAACACGCAGAGTTTCTACTGAGCTTCTTTCTAAGGATTTAAGACTCAGATCAATAAACTTTCAATCTAACCATTAAATATAATTTCTTTGACCATAAATGATATATATATATATATATATATATATATATATATATATATATATATATATATTTATATATCTTATTACAATAAAATAAAGTTTTTTTTTCTAGATGCTCAAGGTTTTCTTTTTATTTTTCATTTTATTTTCTTTATAACTTACGCTCAAGAGCAAAATTGTATCCAGGGAATAAGCTTTGTGTTGATGTGTTCAATATATGCTTCTGACGCCTCTGCAACCATCAAATCAGTCTTGTCTCAAAAAAATTCTGACTACGTGTCGGACGATCGCAAACCCGCGCAGACTTTAAGCGGAAGTGCACAGATTCTCGATTTGGTGCCGGGTCGCAACATTTTTAAAAACCGAGGAACAACTACAGTGGACGACTACGACGAAAGGTTAATCGAGGAGGTACAATCCATCAAAGTTCTTGCATGTTCTCGAATAGGCTGCCCCTTGCGCTTTGATGGGAAACTGCTGTGCGTCCCTAGAAATTCCGGACCGACGGTGAAGAAGCATAGCAGCAAAACTGGTTTGCGACCAGACCCAAGAGACATTTGATGTGTGCAGTTGCAGAAGTCTAATCTGCCCTTTAAGCCACTGTCACACCCTGACGACTTAGACCAACATATGCCTGACGTATGAAAAACCTTGTAAAAATGCTGGCATATGTTGGATAAGTTATGGATCAGTTTTGTAGAAGTTGAAGCTGGCAAACATCGACATACGGCAAGTACGTCTATGTATGCCATACGTGGGCCTGGGCCATACGTTACAGGTAAGTTATCTGATTGTTTACATACGTTAAGTTTAAGTTACTCATAAGTCGTGGTGTCTGGCTTATCCAAAACCTATGAGTAACTTGTGCATAACTGATGCACAACTTATGAAGAACTTCTCTCCAACACATATCAACGTATCTGACGTGTTTCTAACTTACAGCTACTGTATAACGGCGTATTGGCAGCATTTTAGTATAAAAGGGGGTTCATAGGAGGAAACCATCAGTTCTCCTCCAGACTTCATCCCCATCATAGGGTGAGCGAGAAGCTGAGTGTGATGGATCCTCCCTGCATTTACGGCCATGACCACGACCAGCAAACTTCCAACAGACATTTTTTTTTTTTATTCTTTTTTTTTTGGGCGGGCGATAAACAGCAGCCATCAGATCAATCTTTTTATTCAGACCGGGCGCCTCTGTGCACATTAAATGATACACAAGCATCATTTTATAGGCATTATGCTGCCGTGCGTTATGCATAAGTTAGGCTGTCGTTGGGCATAAGTTCTGGACTCGTTATGAATACTCTATGTTTTCACCCAAAGCATAAAAAATCAAAAAGTTCGGCATATGCCAATTTTTTAGGAAATTCTTGGACGTCAGGCATACGCTGGCTAAATCGGCAAGGTGTGACAGGGCCCTAACACGTCTAAGCATTTGATATATAAAGAAAAAACTATTCTTTCCCTCTTTAACCCACAAATAACCACTCAGAGTCATTACATTATCCACAGGAGATCCTTCTTTCCTACAGTTATTGGCAAAAACTCAATGACAAAAAAAAACAACTTAAAATACAACATTTCATTTCCCTTCAGGATCAATAAGCTATTTTTGAATTGAAATAAATTAAAGGGGCATAGTCACGTTACATGACTTTTTTCCACTTCCATTTTTATGCCAGTAGCTCATTCTAGTAACATATTAAATCTGAAAGATTATGTAATCCTTTGTTATTTTAGTAAATAAAGCCCTTTGTCTATATTTTCAATAACAAGACTGAACCTGTGCACATGGAGTAAACAGGGCTCTTCCTAGCATGTTTCAGCAAAAACGCTGTTAACACTGTAAGTTTTCAAAATGAAACTGAGACTAAGCCAAAACACAGGCTATTAATGAGTGTAATGGCTGCAAAAAAATGTTTTTTAAAACACATTTACCCCCTTTGTTTGCACTTATAGCTGAGAAAATGCTGTGAAAACGTGAACCCTAAAACTTTCAGACTCTGTAAGGGCAGATAAACACATGTGGTACCAAACTGCCAGCAGACAGAGAATCAGATTTGAGGTTCAGGATTCCCCAACAGCTGGTTTGTTAATCTGAACAGACCCACAGTCAGACTGTTTATCTTTTTACCAAAGTAAAAGCAGCATTGCACATCCGTTTATGTCTGCTCATTGTGCCCTTAGCTGGAATTCCATTTAGGCTTAAAGCAAACCGTCTGAACACCATGAAGGCAAACGCCTCGTGTATACAACTATTTATCAGGATGAAATGCTTTTTGCTCTTTTTATATAGAGGCATATAATGTGACTGTGAAGTAAAGCTGACAATTTTCACTCGATGTCTGATTGATTTATGATTTATGGTTGTTAGATGGAAAACAGCCCTGCTGCACGTATATTAAAGGAAATCCTTTTATTTAAGTTTCTGCTTTGTCATTTCTAACTATATTTTAGTCAGTGGAAGAATGGCTCAACAGTTCATAAAATCAAAGGTGTTTGTTTTGTTATTGTTTCCTCAGTCATTAAAGGGAAAAAGCAAAAGCAGCCATGACCTTCTGAAGGACGATCCCAGGCTGAGCTCCGTTCCAGCTGTTGATAAGTACGCGATCTAAACAGTCAATAAGAGTTCAGATCTTTCTGAGTTTTAACTCCATCTTTCTCCTACTTTGAAAAGGGGAAAGAAGAAAGCGAGATCTGGGAACGCAGCCGATGTAAGTCGTCCAGGATGTCAAACATAGACGGACAATGTCTCCTTTTATTATTTTCCCTTACAGCTGTGGTCTGCTTTGATTCTTCTCAGTCAGGCAGCGAGGCAGAAGGTGATGTGGACCAGGAAGGACTCAGCGGCGAGGAATATGACTCGGACGAGCGAGAGAAGATGAGAGAACTCATCAGTAAGAAACTTAAGAAAGAGAAAGGAGGAGAGAAAGCAGACGAGCAAGGCGAGGAGGACAGAGAGAAGAAGACCAGCCGCAGGTACGGAGCAGCGCGTTTTCACTCTTATTGTTATTTATCTACTCTTTGATGAGGCTCCAAAACATTAAAGCAGGATAATGAAGCTGTTAGTTAGCTTGTAATGTAAGCTGATGGCCTGATGGTGGTGCTGTGGGACAATGTATGAAAATAATGATTGCCCTAAAATAGAATCCCTATACCTCTGTGACTGTAGACTGCTCTGATATTCTCCAAAATATTGTTTATGTATTGAACATTAATAATAGAAAAACACTGAAGAGGTTTTTTGTTATAGGACTTAAAAAAAAATCTGATTTGACTGTAAATTGGGATTTTTTTGCCCTACCTTGAAATTTCCCCGACCACATGAAGGGATTCCTAAAGGAATAATGTGACAGCTTCTGGGCGAGCCCCTCTGAAAACTATTCTGAACTTTGTGTCATTTTGTGGCAGGAAATCACTGCTAGAAAGCAGCTTGTTGTGCCTCCTGGTTACTCAGAGGTTTGTGGCGGGTTCTTTTTCCTCTCAGCAAACAATAAACAAAGGGATATGTGTTTTATAGGTTGAAATAAAGCTGCAATATGTAATTCAAATGAACTATAGACTGGTTGTAGACTAGGAAGGTTTTGTAAAGGAAATTAGGAAAAATTTCAAAATATTTTTCATGGGTGCAACGATTTATCGGCCGGCCTCGATTTTCTTAATTTTGGGTGATTGGTGACCGGCCAATACATGATGTGAAACCGATCTTTTCCGCCAATCAGATCAAACTCTGTAAACATCTGAAAAACCAGCCTCTGTCAATGCATTGCATTTAAGATTTTTTTATTGTTTCACGGTAATTAAAATAAGTAAAATAAGTTTGAAATATCATGGTTTTTTGTGATCTTATAACAACTGACAGTGTCAGTTATAAAAAATAAATCTGTATAGGTGAAAATCGGAATTGGCATGTATGGCTTTTGTAAAGATGGACAATCAGTGATCGGCCAGAAACCTGTAATCGGTGCACCTCTATCAGTTTCATCTTGATTTAACAAACAGGAACCAAAACAGCTGTTTTAGGAAGTTTGAAGGCTGCTAGAGATAAATGTCTCGGCCAAAATTTAGACATCTTAGAGATTTGCAGTATTTAGAAAATCAGCTGTTGAGGAATGGCTGCTGAATGCTGAAAACCAATCAGCATAAATGTACACAAATCAGCCTAGTAGAGCCTTTAGATCTAGCCTGGGTGCCATTCCGAACTTAGTCCCGCCCACAAGGTTTGAGGTCGGGAAGTTCGGTCTGGCTCTCCTCCATAGTAGCGCGAGTATTAAAGCCCACTGTCAGGCGATTCCAATCAAATTGTCAGGGCGGGCTTTATACGATGATGGACAGATGACCAACAGTAACGTAATCAACCACGTGACCAAAGCGCCCTTGGGCGACAACAACAATGGCTGCCGCTGGAGAGTTGAGGTGAGTAGATTCTACTATTAGGTCTGTTCTAGAAGATATCGACAGCAAATTAATTTTAAGAGGAACAGAGAAACGCGATCAAGGCTCATCTTCTTATTCTAGGCGTGCAACTGCACGCTTTGATTTTTGTTGACAACAACTATGCGTGGCTTAACATACGTCACGCACTCCGTTGCTCTTATTGGTTGTAGGTCTATCCAATTGAGTGCAGAGGCATTTTTTTTCCTGGTTTGTTCGAAACACGCCCCATAATCACAGCTCTATGGAGCAGTATCAGACTCATATTCTGACTAGAATTGAGTCGGACTACGTCAGGCTACTTTAGATCAGGGGTAACCAATTAAAAATCATCAACCAGTAAAGATTTTTAATTATAATCTGTTACTTTAAACAGAATTTACCAGTGAAATAAAATGAGGTGCTTCTCCATTGTGTTATAGATTGAATTTTTACATTCAAAAAATATATTTAATAATAGAAAATTTTGTGGTATTTTTTAATTTAGAGAACAAAATTCGCTCAGTTTGGTATATAGACAATTTCCTGATTTTATAAAACACCTAAACTGACTGTTTTTTATTTTCTTTCTTTTTTCTGTCTTAATGAAAGCAGTGGGCTTTATGCTGCCCTGCAAGGCTTAAACCTGGGTTTGAACTAACTGAATATAAATATGAATGTAAATATATGAATATAAACTAACAATATAAAGTAGATTTGAGCAGATATTTTTGGTTCCAAGCTTCAAATCAGAAGTTTAGGAACTATAGAACGACTGCGCTTTTCAGATTGAGAGGAGTTCAATTTGGCTTCTCTACCTGAAACAGACAAACCGTTAATGATACAGCCATGATGTTGTCTGGGAATCAATTTAACCTTAAAAAAACAATGTAAAGTAGATTTGAGCAGATATTTTTGGTTCCATGGAGACAAAGCCATTCTAAAGCACATATCAAGGACCTCATTTTGAGCCTGGATCCATATTTATTTTGATTCTGTTCACATTGGAGAATCCTGCTTCACAGCAGCAGGTTGAGCCAAACATCCTCTAAATGTTCAGTGTCATCTTTGAGCACCATTTCACTTTTCTTTCACCAGTTCACCACAGTTCTTCCAGCAGTCCACACTTTCTCTGCTCTTTTTCTCATCATCTTCTCCTTCTTTCTCATCGCCCGGCTTGCCACAGGTTTGCCTGCTGTGTCTAAAAGTAGCAGCAGCAGCAACCCAGACTGACAGCAGCTCATTGGATAATTTCTATCACATGCAGCCTGTAGCCTGTGAAATTAGACACTGTCGTCAGACAACATGCGGTAATTTATAAATGTTTTAAATCAGGTTGGGTCCGGATTAGCGGGCAGGTTGGTCTGGATTCAGAACGTGCTCTGCTAATCCATGACCTCTGGTTTAGGGCAATGTATTTCTTTTTTTTTCACCACATCATTAATAAGAACTTAATCCTAAAGGTTGAAGGTCAGATATTCATAGATTTCTGTTTTCATATTTGTCCTTAGAATCAGTAAAACCCTCTGCCGTTTCTATACAACTTTATATTGTTCTATACCCGGCGGGTTTCAGGTCTAAAACTGTTGAATTGGTTTAAAGTTAAGTAATTATTACTGATTTTACTCAAATTTAATGAGAACTTCAGCAAATTATGTTTGCTGTTTTAAATGATGCTGAATAAGCTTAAATTACAAATCACTGCTCCATCATTAGACCTTTCATAAAGCACTTTGTCATTTTGCTGGACATTAAATTGACCCAGAAGTTCTTGAGATAAACATAAAGTTTTTGCTTGGAGACCATTTTTAACTAAAATGATTAAATTAGCATAAAACACAAGTACACCCATCTCAAAGATCGATAAAACGTCTTCTTTAAAACATTTTCCACTAGAGCTGGAAGACATTTTGAATATCTTAAAAAAAAAATGAACGACTAAATAAAATGAGTTTTTGTTTCTGTTAACAAAAGTTGAATTAAAAAGCAAACAAATAAAAACACAATAGGATGGAAAACACAACAAGAACACAGCTCAAATAAAAGGGGTTATGAGTTCCCTGTAAACCTAATTTCACTTCACAAAATATGAATCATTAAGCTCAGAGAAAACAAGAGAAAGTTCCAGTTCCATGAACAAAAAGTACAAACTAACAACAAAATCATTCACTATGAGGAAGAGCAGATGCCTCATCACGACCGTTGGTGAGGAATGTTTCCCCAGGTAATTTCTACTGGGGATCTAATGCTTGAAACCTTTTTGGAAATGCTGGATTTTTAATGACACTAAAGGTCTTTACAGATGAAACAAACTACACCGTCTTCAAGGTCTCACCATTGTGTTTCTGTTTTCTGTTTGGTTTGTGGATTAAACATGGAGAAGATCTGTGAAAACTTGTTTTAGGTGCAGATGTTTGTTGTATAGCTACGCCTGGTTTATCACAAACGTGACTAACCGGCTTGCAAAGGTTAGGTGGTTTACCGCCATCATTCAGTTTGAATCCAGATGACTCCCACGTTCCAGCTTTCGCAAAAACCAACTCCATCTTTGCTTTAACAAATCTCAGATGGTATTTACTTGGTTGGTTCTTTGCTACATTCTGAGTTAAAGGTATTGTTGAGGATTTTCTCGAATTATTTTAAAAGTCCCGCCCTCTCCAATTAAAAGAAAAAGCACATTTGAGAGCATGCACAAGCCCATTTCTCCTTGTGCACACTCTGTTTAAAAGTTGCTGTTCTCATAACTCATACAGGCGTACTGTTTCTGAACGTCTGCCGTAACCCCTACTCCACAGTCTGCCAGGAGCCGATGCAAACACACTATACCACTCTATCCAGAAGCTTTATACCAGCTGTCCCCAACCACCGGGCCGTGGACTGGTACCGGTCCGTCGGTCATTTGGTACAGGGCCGCACAGAATAATTTATCGACGATCAGAGTCTGAGTGATGTTTTGTTTTGAAAAATATAAAAAAAATGCGGTATTGTCTCCCAATTACATCAGTCGGTGCATCTGTGCCTCTTGACTAGAGGTGAGTATTGGCATGAGTGTTGCAATTCGATACATGTCGCGATACTTGGGTCACGATATGATATTATCAAGATATTGCAGTATCACTATATATTGCCATATTTTCCCCAGCTATCAAAATCAAATGATGAGATAAAACAGCAAGTGCTGTATATTTTCATCAGAAAATATTGATTAGGTATTATTATCCATGTTGTTTGGGGTTTTCTTCCACTGTGACTGCCTTAAATACAGATTTGGTGCTGCACGCACAGTTAAAGGGCTCCACAGCGCTTTCTGCCAGAGTGGTGGTGCAGAGGTAGCCCATTTTCCCATCAATGTTTTATGTAACCATATTTTTTTTTTTAAATCGATACTAAGAAGGGAAAGATCGCCAAAGCGATTATTTCCCACACCCCTACTCTTGACACAGGTTCATTCAGTTCAAGACTCATCCTATCTATAACATCCTATCTTTGTGAAGCGGGATTTTCTGCAGTTACAGAGACCAAAACAAAGCTACAGAGCAGACTGGACATCAGGAGCACACTTTGTG